AACAAACTCTCATCGAATTATTTTCACTCTGTTTCACAGCGGAGGCATCGCTGTTTTTAATTAGTTATATTTTTTTCAAATGTAGTTTCAAAAAATAATTTGTCCAGAGTCGCGTTGGTAGATGGGTCGTGAAAGTTAAAATTTTGTGCCGTAAATCTTATCGCTGGTTGGCCTTATATAGACGTCGTAAAACTTGCGTCGCAAATCGTCCTGTCGTAAACCGGTTGTAACGATTCCCCAAACTTTCAATAATCAATTTCGCTCGCATTTAAAAATACGTTAAAATCAATACTTAGTTGAATACGAAAGTCTCACAAATGTTATGCACTTTAAATGTTTTGGTTTTAAAAAAAATCCGCACACAGTAACAGACAAGTTCACACTTGCTCCCGTTTGGCTGTATTCGAATTTCCCGCCAAGCGCTGGACCAATCAACACGCTCACATCGGAAGTGGTAGGGCATATTGTTTTGTTCATGGGTTCAGCTTCTAATGTGTAATGTGAAATGTAAAGTCGACCTGCCTTCTGCTTATTCGTTGTGGGAAATATAAATACACTAAATCTTGATTTTAAATTTTCGTGACTTTACCGAAAGATACCTTGTACCGGTATATATATAGAGTTGTATAGATATAAAGGTGTGCTAAATTTCACCTTTCCAGAACATCGTTATAGTTTAAATTATTCACTCGGCCACGGTTTACACAACAACGTGTACATACCGATTCTTTGGTTCTTTCGGTAAAGTCACGTAGATACAAAATTTAAATTAAATAAAAAATGAAATTTACAATAAAAGCAAAACATCCACGACGTTTCGATCGCAACACAAGCGGTCTTCATCAGGCGGAGAGAAAGAAAAAAACAGACCGCTTGTGTTGCAATCGAAACGTCGCAGGTTTTTTAGGCTTTTATTTTTTATTTAATTTTATTTAAATTTTCTATCCACGTGATTTTACCGAAAGAACTAAAGAATATGAATTCCTGCAGTCACGAAAGTGTACAAACCTGTCAACCCCTTATCCAGTGCCCTACCTTATTACAGACCAATTCAGATCTTATTGGTCACCCCGTGCCCCCTTATAAATCTCAACGTTCATCCTACAAAGTCCCATCATCAAAAGAGAGAAACACAAACAATGTCACTAAAACACGGTTTTTTTTTGCCCGTATTTAAACGGCTGTACGCCGTATGGACCTGAAAACTAAATTTCCCTGTACAAGAACACGGGGTAAACCGTGTGGGTTGACAGATATGTGTGTACCATCATCAGCCATTACCTCTAGGCCAGTGTTCTTCATTGCAAGGCCCCTGGTGGCCTTTAGTGTGGCCCCTGACGTGCGACCCCAGTGCTGTCAAGCCCCAATGGTTTAAAATGTGTGGCGGCCATCCTCACACCGATGATGTCTTATCGGCAAAAGTGGCCCCCCTCTGAAAATCAGGAAAGAACACTGCCTATGTAGTGCTCGATAAAGGCGTCACCCCACCTCCTCCATCCTTCATGATCCATCGCTGCTGTCATCCATATCACTTCGTGCACATTTCCTTTGGCTTCCATTTCCATCACTGGCCTCGTCCATCACCCATCATGCCGTCCAACCATGCGTTCTTGCCCACAGAGCCGTCCCAAGGGTACACAGTGAATCTGGGCGACTGCCCCGGGCCCCGCCCTTGGGGGGAGGGCGCTTAAACGTCACGGTGTAAGATTAAATACACGGGTTTGCTTTTGCCCCGGGCACCGCAACCTCACCCCCCAATTCACTTGTCTTGCTAGGGTGCGTCTAAAACGTGGTTACAATTCACGTTGCCTCTTACAACGGGAGGGAGCCGGGGTGGGAGGGAGGGAAACATCGTTCCGAGCGCTTTGGGAATTCTGTCGGTCTCCTTGCAACGTCGCCTGTGCGCCAGCGACGTGGGATATTTTTAAAGTGGGACAGTCAATCTGGGCCACCAACATGGCTATATATAGGGGGGGGGGGGGGGGGCAATGGGTGATGTGCGATGGTCGGTTGTTAGTCCCCCCCTATATTTAGGGGATGGATGTGGCAGGTTGACATTCAGGGGACAACTGCACTGCCGCAACAGGCGTGGTCGCACGCTCGATCCACTCCTCCCACCCCCTCCCAAAGTCACAGGCGTATCTTTTTACAGGGGAGACGACTTTGCTTGCTGATATGCACTGATAAAACCAGAGCTCCTCCACTATTCTGTTTTGTTCTGATGGTCCAACATCGTAAAAAATGTAACGTCTGCTTTTAAGGCCACAGTTTGGCCAAAAAAAGTCTTTGCGGGTCACAATTTGGACCACGGGCCTCCAGTTAAGACAACTTTTGGTGTAGACCATTGGCAAACAGCTACGTGCACCTGGCACACGAAAGGCAAGTGCAGCCCCAGCACAGAAAGTCCGTAGTTTGCAGGATCAATAGCGGAACAGTAATGATTCAAAGGCCCCTTTTGCCAATCCACTGCTGGATGAAGCTCTTGCCACGCCAGTCGTTCATTGGGGGGTTTGTTCGACCATACTTCACGCTGGATCAGTGCCGGTCACACGGTAGTTGGGGATATTGTTCGCCACCACGTATGATAGCCGTGGCAGGTACTGTATAATCAAACTCTGGTCGCCAGAGCCATAGCGCACTGCACTAACCACTGTGCCACTTCCTTCCACGAGGCTGAGACTTAACCCAGCAGCAGAAATTTGGTGCACGCAGCGCCTGTGACTTTGCCGTGACTCTTGTTCCATAGGCAACGTCACGGAGTAACGTCCTCCACTGATTTCGATTTAAAGCTTTCGTGACTGCAAGGATTCATCTTCTTTGGTTCTTTCGGTAAAGTCACGTAGAATGAGATAAAAACAATAAAATAAAACAATAAAATTCTGACGACGTTTCGCCCACAACACAAGTGGCCCTCTTGTAGCTTTGTCGTCCCGACAGGTTTGTTCCTTTCACCTGAAGAAGGCGTGACTTTACCGAAAGAACCAAAGAAGATGAGTCCTCCACTGAGTTTGGAGGGATTCCCACAACTCTCTCATCAGGACAAGGGAGGGTGGATCGCAGCAGCAGCAACACTCGTCTCTGCCTGCCTTTCTGATAGTAATACTGATAACATTAACTAGCGTCGGGGCTGCCGTTACGTACGTGTGTGTGTGTACGTTGAAATTCTTTCGCACCGTACGTAGCCAACCGTGCTAATGGGAGGTGCAGGGGGGGCGGGGAAGGACGACAAAAAGTCCACGGCATGACGAATGTCGTGCGCATTGTCTCGCTCTCTCGTTGCTCTCTAAAACATGCGCTCGTTGGGCACCGACCTCCAATGGCACGCGCAGGCGTCTTGCCGCACAACTTCGAGCTCCGAGTTTTTTTTTGTGTGTGCGCCCGAAACGTCGTGAGAATTTTTTATTGTTTTATATATATTTTGTTATTTTGTTGTTTCTCTTCAACGTGACTTTACCGAAAAAACTAAGAATATGAACTTCGTTTAACTCACGGTCGAGGAGTACGTCAATGATGCGGCGCCTGCCGCCACATAAACTAATTGCTTGAATTAATAATATTAATTGATAACTTTAGAAATGAATCTTCAATGTACAACTTTTGTTTGCGTGGAGGGTGTCCGTAACTAGTTGACACTTAGCAGGCGCGCCTGAGACACGTGGCGCCTGCTTCTTGGCCGAGGCGATTGGAGAGTTTAGGGACCGCGGCTCTTTTTTAACCTACACAAATATATATAAATAATAAGGCGTCCATACAAAATGTAAATTGCTTTAAAGTAGCGAATTAATTGATGCAGGCATGTATTGTCACCGGATCTGAGTACGTGTGAAAATTTTGGAAATTGATTGGACAACGGGAAGTGGACGAAATTTTTATTACAAGATTTGACCACGACACATGAATCAAGTTAAGTAAAACCGTCATCAGGTGGGACAACCACAGCAAGAAAAAAAACCGTCCCACCTGATGATGATTGCTTGTGTTGCGATCGAAACCTCCTGATCTATTAATTTTGTTTCTACCTACGTGATTTTACCAAAAAATAAACCAAAGAGTATGGATTCCTGCAGTCACTAAAGCTTCAAATTAAGTAAAACCGTTGAGAAAAAAAACGCGACACGCGCGCGAGCGCCGAATGGGGGCTTCGTTAAGCCCGCGCAAACCCTCTCGTCTCGTGACCCTTAGCGAAGAGCCGTCCGGTTAAGAGTGTGCCGCTGAACTACAAACCCTCAAAATTAGCCCAGAGTTAGGAGAAACGTCGCAGAGCTGATCGCTCAACATCGCCACGATGTTGCAACACGATCTGGCCTCTCTGGCTCCTGCTTGAAGCCACTGGCAGCGCTGAGACTCGGATTCGAAACCCAGGATCTCAGCAAACGCAGGCTGTGTGTGACCCCCTAAGGCACATGGCCACCGCCGTAAGCAATGCTGAGCACCCACAAAAGCCTCGTCGTTTACTGACAGGACTGCAATCTCCCTCACATCGTCTCTTCAAACACTAAGATATTTCCCCAAGTGCTTCGGATTTGTATTTAATTCGCACAGGAAATAGAGGTCTGTATTTTTTCTTAATCTCAGTAGACGCCACCTATGGGCGTGACAATGAGTGACTGGTAGTAGGGTTGTTGCTGCTGCTGCAAGGGCAGAGCGTGCGAAATTGATCGAGCATGGGTTGGGATGCGGGGGGCGAGCGGGCATGGGGTGCGGTATGTGGGAGGGTGGAGGCTTAGGGAATGCTGACACGAGTGTTAGTGATCGCTTTGGTGCACAATGGGCAGCGCAGCTGACATCTGCTGTCCCTCAAGCCACGAGCTTTGTAGGCAGTAAGAGAGCAGGGTGCTGGTCAGCGGTCCACATAAGCTGCGTTGTTGGGGAGTTTTACGCATTTCAAAATATGAGCTGCGCACGTGTGTATGTTGAACTTCTTTCGCACCCTACTTAGCCGACCGTGCTAATCCGAGGTGCGGGGGAAGGACAACAAAAAAAAGCAGTTTTAAATAAATTAGTTTTCACATCTAGATTTAAAAGTGCATAGCTCCAGTGGCTTCCTTATATAAATGCGAGCAATTTTATATAGGCTTTGTTGTTGTAAAATTTCCCCAACTATCACCCCGATTGTGTTAAAACTGAAAAAGTTTGCGCGCAAAAATGAAACAACCACGGAGGGATGAAGGCATCCGTGGAGTTACATTGAGAGAAGAGAGGAGCACGGTTCGGTCTTCTGGCGCGGCAGTTGAACTCAAAGGAAAATGTTTTCCACTGCGTGTCGGTTGTCACGGGCGTGTGCTGTATGGCTCTGTGATGTGTGCTGGGGTCGTGTCTCACGTGTTGCTCGGCACGAGGTCCCACGTCTCGTTTGACGTCCTGGGAGCTTACACCCCCACACCCACGGCCCCCAATCCGCCGAAAAGTATAAATGGGCACACCGCAGTCCAATAACACAGGCAGCTTATTTTGGGGTAAAATTTGAGTACTCTCACATGGCCCACGTGGAAGGCTAGGCCTAATACCATCTAGAAGGGCTCTCTCGAGCTCTCCCTCTACTGGGGGACTTCCGCCAGCAGTGGCATGAACAGGAAATTGCAGGGCTGCACCTCTACTGTTCACCCTCTATGACCATCTTATTCGGATTAAGGCAGACTTTTGTCTTTTCCAGCAAATGTTCAGGGTGCATCCTATAATCTGGTAGGTGTGTGTGACTCGATTTGTATATCCTGGTAGGTGTGTGTGACTCGATTTGTGTAACCTGGTAGGTGTTTAACTCGATTTGTATATCCTGGTAGGTGTGTGTGACTCGATTTGTGTAACCTGGTAGGTGTGTGTGACTCGATTTGTGTAACCTGGTAGGTGTGTGTGACTCGATTTGTGTAACCTGGTAGGTGTGTGTAACTCGATTTGTGTAACCTGGTAGGTGTGTGTGTGTGTGACTCGATTTGTGTAACCTGGTAGGTGTGTGTGACTCGATTTGTGTAACCTGGTAGGTGTGTGTGACTCGATTTGTGTAACCCGGTAGGTGTGTGTGACTCGATTTGTGTAACCTGGTAGGTGTGTGTGACTCGATTTGTGTAACCTGGTAGGTGTGTGTAATTCGATTTGTGTAACCTGGTAGGTGTGTGTGACTCGATTTGTATATCCTGGTAGGTGTGTGTGACTCGATTTGTGTAACCTGGTAGGTGTGTGTTACTCGATTTGTGTAACCTGGTAGGTGTGTGTAACTCGATTTCTATAGCCTGGTAGGTGTGTGTGACTCGATTTGTATAGCCTGGTAGGTGTGTGTGATTCGATTTGTGTAACCCGGTAGGTGTGTGTGACTCGATTTGTGTAACCTGGTAGGTGTGTGTGACTCGATTTGTGTAACCTGGTAGGTGTGTGTGACTCGATTTGTGTAACCTGGTAGGTGTGTGTAATTCGATTTGTGTAACCTGGTAGGTGTGTGTGACTCGATTTGTATATCCTGGTAGGTGTGTGTGACTCGATTTGTATATCCTGGTAGGTGTGTGTAATTCGATTTGTGTAACCTGGTAGGTGTGTGTGACTCGATTTGTATATCCTGGTAGGTGTGTGTGACTCGATTTGTGTAACCTGGTAGGTGTGTGTTACTCGATTTGTATATCCTGGTAGGTGTGTGTGACTCGATTTGTGTAACCTGGTAGGTGTGTGTGACTCGATTTGTGTAACCTGGTAGGTGTGTGTGACTCGATTTGTGTAACCTGGTAGGTGTGTGTTACTCGATTTGTGTAACCTGGTAGGTGTGTGTGACTCGATTTGTGTAACCTGGTAGGTGTGTGTGACTCGATTTGTGTAACCTGGTAGGTGTGTGTAACTCGATTTCTATAGCCTGGTAGGTGTGTGTGACTCGATTTGTATAACCTGGTCGGTGTGTGTAACTATATCTATAACTATATTGACTACGTTTAGAGAGCGTTTTACTTTCCAGCACGTTTTATAATCCAGATAACACGAATATTATATTATTGCAACTACTACTCTGTGGCGTGTAGCCTCTCTGCTGGTTCCTGCATCGGGGGCAAAATACAATGCGTTTAAAAACAAACACAACCTGAGGTTATTATCTTGCTCCCCGACCCATCCATCCCCACTCCTAGCCTCCTACGGGAACCGCCTGAATCGCTTCATCCGACACTACGAGGGACTCAGCTACAGCACGGAGGAGCTGCACGCCAAGCACACGCGTGCCCGTCGCGCGATTTCCCCTCTCCAGCAGGAGCTGGCACTCACCTTTCAGGCGCACGGCAGGTGAGGGTCGGCGGGGCGGGTGGGGGTCTACGGGGCGGGTGAGGGTCTACGGGGTGGGTAGGGGTCTACGGGGCGGGTGAGGGTCTACGGGGCGGGTGGGGGTCTACGGGGCGGGTGAGGGTCGGCGGGGTGGGTGAGGGTCTACGGGGCGGGTGGGGGTCTACGGGGCGGGTGAGGGTCTACGGGGCGGGTGGGGGTCTACGGGGCGGGTGGGAGTCTACGGGGCGGGTGGGGGTCTACGGGGCGGGTGGGGGTCTACGGGGCGGGTGAGGGTCTACGGGGTGGGTAGGGGTCTACGGGGCGGGTGGGGGTCTACGGGGCGGGTGGGGGTCTAACGGGGCGGGTGGGGGTCTACGGGGCGGGTGAGGGTCTACGGGGCGGGTGGGGGTCTACGGGGCGGGTGGGGGTCAACGGGGCGGGTGGGGGTCTACGGGGCGGGTGGGGGTCAACGAGGCGGGTTCGTTAAGCAGCACAGCCTTGGCAGCTACTTAACGAAATTGAAGTCACTAAATGTCACTAAGGTGACCTTCTAATGTTGTCAAAATGTAAATATATCACTTATACAGAATAAACAGATACAAGAACGGATCCTTTATGCCTGCAATCTCTCCTAAATCTGCGTCGTATTCTCATCCCAGACAGTCGCTAGATGAGTCGAGGGGCACTTTGATGAATCTTGTCGTTAGGGGAACCCAATGATAATAATGTATCTAAGAAACTTTGAAGCATTGGCTTTCTTGGCGACACTGTTGCCGAGTGAGGGGCATGTGGGGTGTCTTCAGGGGAGCGGTAGTGTAGCGGCTAGCGCACTGCACTACGAACCCGGCGACCGGAAGTTTAATCCCAGCTCACGACCAACACCAGTGGCGAATATTTGAACCAATGCTGGGCCTCCTCTAGGTCGACTCATCATTAAATGATAACCCGGAGCGGTGTATAAACATCAGCAGTGGGGAGACAAAGGTGGCTGGGCTTGGTGTTAGGCTGCCAACCCCTTTGTGCGCCGTCCCGGCCTTCGTGGGTGCTCGCTAACCGCACTTTCCCTGTCTGGGGGATCTTTGTCTTTGGTGTTTTCAGACACTTTGATCTGCGCATGAGGAGGGACACCCGGGTATTCAGCGATGACTTCAAGGTGCAGACATCCCAGGGTCTCGAGGAAGCCGACACCTCGCACATCTACACGGGCAGCCTGCACGGTGAGGCGTGGGAGGCACTGCCTCTCCACGTGGGAGGGAGCGGTGGGCGGGTGGGGGGAACAGCGGAATGACGTCACAAAGTGGGGCACGAGGAGCCAGGGGGCAGTGTGGCAGGCGTGGGTTTTTTTATTGGCATTTTTCCCGAATGCCAAGTACCGATTGTGCCATCTATGTAAAGTCACCAGACGCAGTATCTCACAAAACAGATCAATCCTGTGTGCGAGAGAACGCCCCGTGGATGTAGATATCACAGAGTTACCTCTGGCAGTCCTGATTCAAGAAAAGGGGCACCACTTTCCCACCTGCTCGGCATATGACAGGAATGTCGTCGAATGATAGCCAACTAATTTTAATTCTCAGAGGTGGAATTTAGCCAAATTAGGCGCAGAACCAAATTCATTGTGATCAGGGTTCTTGTTGTTGTTGTGCAGTCATTGTTGACCAGTCTTAGCCCATCAGCTCGCCGCACTTGAGAATCCGGTTTAATCGCCAGTGACTGAGACTAGGATTTGAGCCCAGGATCTCGGCGACATCGGCTCGGCGCTTTGACCTCTCAGACTTTGTATTGTCAACATGCGGCGATATCTCTCTCTCTCCGCGCACGCGGACAGGGGAGAAGGGCAGCCTCTGCCACGGAGCGGTGATGGACGGACGCTTCGAGGGCTTTATCGGCACGAGCAGGGGGACCTTCTACGTGGAGCGAGTGGAGCACTACCTTCTCGACATGGGGACGACGTCATCGCCGTCAACTCCGACGGGGCCATCGCCATTCCCGGCGACGTCGTCGTCGTCATCGAAGTCACCGCTATCACCGCCACCACTGCCAGCCTTCCACTCCGTCATTTACCATGAGGATGATGTAGGTGGGTGAGTAGGTGGTGTAGCGGTTAGCTGGCTGCCCTATGAACCCGGCGACCCGAGTTGGATTCCCGTTCACGGCCACCAACTCCAGTGACAATTATTTGAAGCGGTCCTGGGCTTACCCTAGGTCGGGGTCAGCCTCAAATGAGTACCTGGTGGGGCGGCAGGGCGTGGTGCTGGCCACCCACTCCCTCGTGTGCCTTGCCGACCTTCATATGTGCTACTCGCTAACAGCACTTGCCCCGACAGTATACGGGGCATCTTTGTCTTTGCAGTGTTGAGTGCTTGATGTAGTGACGGATTGATTAATGGGATAAGCTAGAGTCCCGTGCTCGTGGTAAGCTCGTAGAATAGTGCCTGTAAGGAATGGATTATTTTCAGTGTGTATATGCTGCATGGAGTTTATTCACGCGAAACCAACCCCTACCATGAGCGAAGGGATGTTTCAGATTAAAAAGATGACGACAATCTCATTGCTGTGGTCGAAATGTCTCTCTTGTCAATGTTGGGCTGTCCCGGCTCGAGTCATGAACACTCACACCGATTGCTTGTGTCCGCCTCCCCACGCGTCCCATATTTCTGTGTTCCTCTGTCCCCACATCCTCATGTCTCCATGCACGCCCCCCCCCCCCCCTCCGTGTCCCCATAACTCCATGCCTCCGGAAGGGGGGGTCCATATCCCCATGCCCCCCCCCCATGTTCCCATGCCCCATATCCCTATGCCCCCCCCCCCATGAATGCCTCCGTGTTCCCGTGTGACCACGCCACCCGCGTTCCCATTACCGCCGCGCCCCCGTCTCTCTCCACCCCCCCCCCCTCCCACCAAAACTCTGGCACTGTTGCAGAGTTCCCGCACAAGTATGGGCCGCGAGCGGGCTGCGCTCGTGACGCCGTGCTCGAGCGCATGCGGAGGTTCCAGGAGTCGGCCGTGGAGTCCGACTCGGCCGAGTCGGCTCCGGGCGATGGAGCAGGAGCCGGGCCGGCGGTGGAGCGCAGCAGGCGGGCAGCGACGACCACCGTCCCCCGGAACACGTGCCCTCTCTACATCCAGGCCGACCATACCTACTATGCCAAGTACGAGAACAAGGAGGCCGTCCTCGCACAGGTAACCCCACCGTTGTTGATATATGTTTTTGATTTTGATTCAGCGATTTGTAACCCAGGAAGGCTTCATTTTTAACACTTGAGTCACAAGATTTCTTATTTGAGGATTCAAGAGGACCCTTGCCAATTGTTCGCAGCAGGGGGCGATGTCGCTGCTGCTGCTGTGTGTCATGCCAATTTATTAATTTGTGGGTGCAAGTAATACCCCGATTTACGTTCTCCCCCTCGTTTTCGTAGTTTAGCAAATACGTCGTCGCTTTGTGAACACCGCTACTCGATTTGCGTCCGGCTAAACCCCACGCTTACAGCCTTCGCCACCACCGACTCCGCTGTAAATCGCTTTGATGTTACGTCGCTTCGGTATTCGTCGTCGCACCTTTCAGGAATGAATCCCCGACATAAACCGGGGTATTACTGCACTGTCATCTTTAAGCATTGGGATGTTTGGGCCATCGTATGGATTATTTTTCTTTGGGAAGAAACCGGAGAACGTGGAGGAATCCTATGCAGGACATGGGGAGAAAACATGCAAATAATTTGCAGAAAGGCACCCGAGTTGGGAATTGAACCCAAGTCCTTCCTGTTTTGAGGCGCAAGTGTAACATCTCCCTCCACCACATTGTTAACCGTCTTCTTCATAGTGGACATTAAAGATTCCATGACGTAACTTGCCAGCGTAGGCCATTCTGTGCTGGCTGTCCATCGGTCACTGCATTGTGCGGCGCTTTCAGATGCGCTTTTGCGGCCGTCTGGAACGCTCTTCCTTCTGATATTAGGAACTCGCTGGAGCTATGCACTTTTCAATCTATATTGAAAACTCATTTCTTTAGAAGTGATTTTTTTGTGTTTTGTTTGTTGTCTTTTCCCCGCACCTCCGATTAGCACGGTTGGCTACATACGGTGCGAAAGAAGTTCAACATACGTACATTTGTCAGGGTTCAAATTCGCCAAAATTGAAAATTACCCACAAATGCTGCATAGCAATCATCACTCCGTACTGGAAGACTAATGACCCAGGGTCATTCTTGCAAATGGGACTCGTCTTAGTCTCTATGAGGTATCCCCTGGTTCAATAAATAATCTGGATGAGGGCAGGTTACTGAGATGGCCATTGGAGTAGCACCCAGAAATTGGAGGGGAGCAAAATGTTGATTATTAGAACAAAAAATTTGACAAATCAAAATAATTAAATTACGTAATAGCAATTAAAGTAAAAAAATCAAGTTATATTAACAACTTAATTCCTTCTGGAAATGGAGAAGATTGTGATGACGGTAGAATGTTTTGTGAAGGGACACTTTGAGAAGACTTGCGTTTGTAAAAAATAGACACGGGCTGTTTATTCACAGGGTTATATTATCAGATGACAATAATTATCAACCAAACATTGAAACATCATATATCAAAGTGATTAAAGCAGATAAAAAAAAAACCAAAACAACAATTCAACTTCAATTACATCAAAATAAATCAACGCCATGTGGTGTTTTCCTTCAAGGACTGTAATTCACGAGTTGTCCATTTGCAGTAAAAACTTCCTCGATGTTGTTCTTCGTCTCATTCCATTGCTACAGCCATGGTTACAGTTGCCATGAACTTCACTCATCGATGGATTCCTCCACACAACATTGAGGTCTCGGTCATGACTCAAAACGCATCTCTGTACTCCTGCATACAACAACTAAAACTCGAAGCCACAACTGGCTTTCATATTGATATTTTTTTTAGTTTTGTTGACGTGGTGACGGCGCTTTTTGAGTGGTAGACTTGTGCCAAAAATGCGCCGCTTGTTCCAGAATGTTCTTTTTTTACTTGACTCAGTCCACCGAACTGACCGTTTTGTCTCATCCGCACTGTGTTCAACCACCATAAAAAAGACAGACTCCCCGTATAGTCTTAACAGACTGTTGGGGGCAAGCGGTGTTGAGCAAGCACCTATGACGGCCAGAATGGCACATGACTGGGATGGGTTGCCTGCATCAAGGCCGGCCGCCTTTGTCTCCCCAGTGGCGATGTTTATTCCACACAGCACCAGGTACTCACTTGAGGCTGAGTTGACCTACGGGAGGCTCAGGATCTGTTCAAATAATCGTCACTGGTGTTGGCCGTGAGCGGGTATCGAAACTCGGGTGCGCCGGGTTTGTAGCGCAGCGCGTGCTAACCGCTGCGTCACCGCTCCCCATTCAGCCCGCAACACTGCAGGTCACAACACTTCTCTCTTCCTGGGTTGCGACATCTCACGGGGGGGGGGGGGGGGCTGCTCACCACCCGGGATCTCCGTGGGTACCGGCTCAGGGTCTCTGACATTGCGGCATCACAGGGATCAAGCCTCCGGGCCATCTCATGCGTCTGCCTATTTACGATGCGTGGTTGAGTGCGTGCGTGCGTGCGAGCGCATGCGGTGCTGATGCTCTGGTTGCCAATTGATGTCCCTTTGTCGCTCGCAGAAATTTTAATTCAGATGCAAATTACCGCCTGAATGACCTCCGACGAGACTTTGTGTTGACGTGACCAATGCTGAATGATTGTTGGCGTGTTTTTTTTTTTATCAGCATGTTAGCCGAGCCGTGTAGCAGCGCATATACAGGCTAAAAACTCCAATGCCCTTAGCTTTCCGCTAGAATCGCTAAATGTCCTTCCGTCGAACATTAATTTACCTCTCCGTACATTCACAGCACTTGTTTAAACTTTGCGTTTTCTGCACCGTTCTGTACAAATATCTTGATCCCTTGCGCAACCTCCCCCAGTTTATTCAAACAAAAATCCGTATCCATGAACGGATCTGTATGTATGTTCAACTTCTTCCGCACCGTACGTAGCCAACCGTGCTCATCGGAGGTACTGTTTGAAGGACAACAAACTAAACACAAAAAAATAGTTTTCTATTTAGAATAGTGGTGGTGTGTATAGTAGTGCATAGTGTAGTCTTTAATGTTTAGTGTAGTGTGTGTTGTGCAGTGTATAGTGTAGTATGGATGTTGAACTTATTTTGCACCGTACATTGCCAACCGTGCTAATCAAGAGATGTGGGGGTGAAGGACAACAAACTAAGCGCAGAGAGCAGTTCTAAAGACATTGGTTCTCAATCTTGGTGATTTAAAATTGTATGGCTCCCAATGGCTTCCTCATATCGGAAGCAAGAGCGTTCCAGACGGCCGCAGAAAGGCATCTGCAAGCGCGGCGACCGCTTTTGTTCGATGGCCAGCCAAAAGCCCCCGCTGCCGTTGCTGCTGCGAGGACGACCGGAGTTGAGTCTGCGTTCGCGACGAGCGATTAACCTCGCGACCCTTCTTCTGTTGTGCGGATTCATAGCAGCAGATTAAAGATGTCGTTTTAGACGTTGTTATCCACTCAATTGTCTCGTTCAGAAGCGGCGTGGATGTCGCCCATTCCTCCTTTAAAAGGAGCGAAGACGATGGCAGCAGGTGGCGGCGGCGTGTTCACGTTGCGGCCGATGGTCTGGGATTCGTCTTCTTTGGTTCTTTCGGTAAAGTCACGTAGAATGAGAATAAAATAATAAAATAATGTCTGCTATTCGTTAGCCGCTCGCTCGCAGGTCGCCGAATCTTCGATGCCGCCCATTCGTGGCCTGATTCGGTTGATGTCTCGACAAATGTTTTCGGTGGCTGCGGTAATGTTTTTTTGCGTTTGAGTGGCCGAGTGTGTGTGTGTGCGTGGCAGATTTCCGTGGGGAGCGGTGGTGCAGCGGTTTGCACGCTGCGCTATGAACCTGGCGACCCGAGTTCGATTCCCGTTCACGGCCAACACCGGTGACGATTATCTGAACTGGTCCTGGGCACCCCCTAGGTCGATTCAGCCTCAAATGAGTACCTGGGGAGGTGTGTAAACATCGCCACTAAGGAGACAAAGGCGGCCGGGCGTGATGTTGGCAACCCACCCCCTCGTGTGCCGTGCCGGCTTTCATAGGTGCTCGCTAACAGCACTTGCCCCAACGGTCTGTTGAAGGCTGTATGGGGGATCTTTTTCTGTGTCTTGTCTCACCCCCCCCCCCCCTATAACCCCATCTCGTTTTTGCTCGAGGCAGATTTCCATGCATGTGGTTGGCATGGAGAGGGTCTACCAGTCGACCAACTTCAACGGCATCAAGGACACCAGCTTCGTGGTGAAGCGCGTGCGGGTGGGTTGAGAGAGGGCGACGCGTGACTTCATAACAGCGGTTTGATGACAGACCCCACCCGGGCAAACGTCACCAACGTTGGGCCAACTCGGTCAACCCCACAGTGCGTGGGTGATCTGTCCCGTGACCTCCTGCCAGCGAAGCTTCGTCGCTTCTCGCAATGATAGCCTCAGAGGGCACCAAACCAGGCACAATCACCTCTGATGAGCACGGTTGGCTGCTACGTACGGTGCGAAAGAAGTTCAACGCACACATACACAGGGGTTTTCTAACCGTACATGATCACGCTGGCCAGATCGGCTTGGTGAATTCAGCCAGCCAGTATATTTTGGTCAAGGTCCATTCTGTGGTCTGGGGACAGTTTTTGCTGTTGTTTTACTGCCTTTCCGAAACTTGGGAATTGATGATGCAATCAGAACTGATAAGCTTTATTTATTTATTAAAGAGCGCCATGGTGGCTAGGAAATGTTATCTTCTTCGCCTTGTATGCAGGAGGTCGGGGGTTCGATCCTGACCCTGACGTCTGCTGTATATTTGGAGTTTGCATGTTCTCCCTGTGGTCGTGTGGATTTTTTGCTCCGGGTCCTCCCGTTTTTCCATGCATTGAGACTATTTAGATTATTTTGGTGCTATAAATGTTCAGATGATGGGCGACTTTGTTGAGCAATCATTTGTGTCCAGGTCGCTTCTGAAAAATAAGTTAATACCTTGGGGGGCTTTGCCTGGTAGGATGGGGATGGTTTAGTTTGATGTGGGTGTTTGGGTGATTTGTTGACCTTTCTTGCACCTTGCACTGCTATCGTGTCTTTGCACTGTTTGTTGTTGTAACGTTCTTACCCGCCCCTACTGGACTTCTGTGAAAAAGAGCTTCATAGCTCATCGGATTCCTCCAGTATAAATAAATATTCTGATTCTGAGCTACGGAAGTGCTCGTAAGTGCATTGTGGGAAAGCCGACTGCACCTTGCTCTGTAAATTCCAGTAAAGTTGTTCCTCTAGCGCCCAACATAACTACATTCTGTCACTTCGTGGGAACTGGTAGATATGGTTGTTTTTGGTGGTGACGGTTGTGGTGATGGTTGTTGTGCTTGTGGCCAGATCAATACGACGGAGGATGCACTCGATGCCAGCAACCCTTTCCGCTCCTCTCGCCTTGGTGTCGAGAAGTTCCTGGATCTCAACTCGGAGCAGAACCACAACGACTTCTGCCTAGCCTACGTCATGGCCGACCGCAATTTCGGAGATGGAGTGCTCGGCTTGGCCTGGGTTGGCTCTCCCACAGGTGGCAGATTCCTCTTTACACGGTGGCGAGATGTTAACTACCTCGCCTGGTATGGAAGAGGTCGTGGGTTCGATCCCACCCCTGACTCATGTATATTTGTTGTTTGCATGTTCTCTCTCCCCGGAGTCGTGTGGATTCTTCTCCGGGTCCTCTGGGTTTTCCCTCCACATTTAGAAAAATGCGCTTAGAGTATTTGGCTGCTATAAATTTCCACATGATAAGCCACTTGGTTGAGCTATCATTTGTGGCCAGGTCCCTTCTGAAAAATATCTGTATAGCACAGTGGGCCTTACCTGGTAAAGTCAAAATTGTTTTATTGACAAAAGTTGTGTTTTGAATGATAATTTATATTTGCCAAATGGCGCCCTTCATCCATAGATTCCGTTGCGCCCACCATTGTATGGAGAGTGTCAAACAGTTTTATTTATTTATTTTATATACAAATTGTTTAGTTTTAGTTTAGTCTGTGGGTCTCTATGGGTCTCTATGCATCTCGATGAGTTTCTAAGCATCTCGATGGGTCTCTGTATCTCCATTGGTTTCTATGTATCTCTATGGGTCTCTATGTATCTCCATTGGTTTCTAAGTATATTTATGGGTCTCCGTACGTTTCTATGCGTTTAGAGTATTTGGCTGCTATAAACTTCCACGTGATGATAAGCCACTTCGTTGAGCTATCATCTGTGATAGCCAGACCGCTTCTGAAAAATATAAGCGGAACAGCTCAGTGGGTCCTTGCCTGGTAAAATGTTTTTTGTTATAGTTTAGTACTTTAGTTGAACAGAAATCTCGACTGCAGAGGGCGCTCAGGCAACACTGCGTGATGGGACACAGTGCACCCTCGCCTGCGCGCGCATCATCCGAGATTTTGCGCAAAGCTCTGGTGTGCAACGCGCCTAGACAGCCACATATCCTGCGCAACACATTGATCATTATTTACCTTTGGCGTACACACGGCTTTCAATTGTCGATATCACAGAAATACTCCCGGGAAACCCCTCCACCCGGTGAGAGGAGGCACCTTCCCACCCGTCCTGCCGCATGAGAGCAATGTTTCCCGCACGGCAAATTAAGTGCAGAAACAAGTTTACCTGATGACTTTGTGTAACAATTGGTGACCGGGCGTAAACCAGGAATGCACTTGAAAACAGAGGTTCATCGTATCCCAGTCTATGTGAGTCTACGGTTCTCTGTTGTGAGTCTATTTGAGTCGCTGGACCTCTGCGTGAGTCTTTTAAGTCACTATGTGAGCCTGTGGGTCTCTTTGAGAGTCAGCGGGGAGCGAGTTGAGACCACGACCTCGACACAATCGAGGAATCCGTTTAATCAAAGGCAGGGGCTGAAACCTGGATTCGAACCCAGGATCTCTGCTGTGGCGGTTCAGCACTCTGACCTCCAAGCGACCCGGCCGACTGGCCGGCCGCCTGCCTGCTTGGTCCTCGTTCGAAGTCTTACGCGTACCTATTCCTTCCCGGCTCAGGGGCGTCGGGCGGCATCTGCGAGAGGAACAAGCTGTTCTCGGACCGGACTCGCAAGTCGCTCAACACGGGCATCGTGACGGTGAACAACTACGGGTCCCACGTGCCCCTCAAGGTGTCCATCATCACCATCACCCACGAGGTCGGCCACAACTTCGGCTCTCCGGTACGATCGCCGCTCGCGCACCTCTCCGTCTCCCCGATGATGAGCAACAGCTACCTCTGATGCATTGCCCTCCACCGCCCCCCCGCCCCCTCCGTAATGGAAGAGCGAAATAACCCGCGTGACAAAATAAACAAGCGTGTACGATACGTTCCCATCGCGTCGCGGCAGATGCTCTCGCAGCCGACCGCCTACCTTTGTTGCCGCAAACCCTTTGCGAAGGGTGCGGAAAATGTTTTATCCCGCTGGCTCCTGCATCAATCCCTCCCTTGCCCTGCGAAATCACGGAGCTCGATTTCAGCTGCGGCCTTTTACTTTGCACTTCATTACAAAGAGTGGATGTCCAAAACTAACCGCTCCACGGTGTGACACACCGAGCTACAATTTCCTGTAATGGAGCATGGTGGGAGGGGGGGGGGCATGTGTAGAATGGAGGATGGCAGGTTACCCAGACAGGCATTCGAGTGCCACCCAGACTTTGACGACCCGGCTGATGGCTGCGTAACAAGGCGAAGACCTAAAGCCACCTGGTGGTCGTGACGATGGTTCAGATGTCAGTCGCTGCTGATGAATGCCTTGGGTGGGGAATCGAACTCGGGTTTTGTAGCGAAGGATGTCTAACCACCGCGCCACTGCTGGATTAACAGCAATATATAAAAAAAATGTAACGTAGCAGATATTGGTTCTTTCGGTAAAGTCACGTGGGTAAAAATAGATACAAAATGAAATGAAATAAAAACAAAAATGAAAACAACTAAATTAAATCATTTGTTGTTTTTATTTTATTACATTTTTATTTATTTTTTACCTACGTGACTTTACCGAAAAAATCAAAGAGTATGGATCCTTGCAGTCACGAAAACTTCAAGTCTAGAAGTAGCAGATATTGCGCCTTGTTTCCTCCCAAAAGAGACTGAACACTTTCGAATCAGATTCAGAATCAGATTGCGGAACTTCCAAACTCAATCGAAATTTGTCCTCCCGTGTCTCCTCCCCCCCGTTCCCCCCCACCACCACATCGTGTATCGTCACCGACCGCAGCACGACTCGGAGGCTCGCTGCATGCCCGGCGAGTCCCAGGAACGTGCGCAGAGGACGGCCGGGAACTACTTGATGTATCCCTACGCCCAGTCGGGCGACAAGCCGAACAACATGCTGTTCTCTCCGTGCAGCGTCGACAGCATCAGCAAAGTGCTCAAGGCCAAGCGCAACTTGTGCTTCATCGGTACGCGGCGCGCACTCGTTGTTGTCACCGAACATAGCAGTGCGCTACAGGGTAGCAGTAGGCCTTTTTGATTGACTGCGTTGGCCTGGTGAGTCCGAATAAGGACGACACCAGTATAAGTTTGCCTTGTTGTCCCAACCGCCGCGTAAAATCGTAAACCCTTAGTCCCGAAAAACCCTCTGGATGAGAGGTGCTTCTCAGCAATTTTGGGGCTGGACCTAAAACGACTAACAAACTATAAACTCAACTATTTTTTATTTTACCAGGTAAGGCCCACTGAGCTCTTTTTTCAGAAGCGACCTGGCCACAAATGATAGCTCAACGAAGTGGCTTATGTGGAAATGTATAGCAGCCAAATACTCCAAACGTACGTTTCTATATGTGAAAGGAAACCCCAGAGGACCCGGAGAAAAATACACACGACCACGGCGAGAGAGAACATGCCAACAACAAGTATGCATGAGTCAGGGGTGGCCACAATGTACAGCTCAACGAAGTAACTTATCACGTTGAAAATTTCTAGCAGCCAAATACTCGAATCCAGTTTTCTTCATTGCAAGGCCCGCGGATCACTGGTGGCCCCTGGTGGCCTTTAGTGCGACCCCAGACAATACACAAACGCCCCTTGCAGTCGGTGTGTGCGGTCCCTCACATTGACGATGTCTTATCAGTGAAAGTGCCCCCCCGCCCCCCCTTTGAAAGCTAGCGACGAACACCGCTCTAGTCGGACGTTTCTAAACATTCACCTTTGCGAGCTCACTGCCCCCCTCCCCCGCAACTCCCCCGGCCCCCACGGCCCCCTGCCCCCCTGCCCCCCTGCCCCCACCGCCACAGAGTCGGACACGCCGGTGTGTGGAAACGGGCTGGTGGAGGAGGACGAGGAGTGCGACTGCGGCTTTGAGGAGGATTGTGTGGACTTGTGCTGCTTCCCCGCCAGCGCCCCCGCCGGGCAGCGCTGCCGTCTGCGCCCCGACGTGGAGTGCAGGTGTGCTGCGGGGGGGGGGGAGGGGTGCAATCAATACCGCTTGGGACATGGGGGGTGGGGGCGGTAGGGGCGTACATGGAGACATCAGGATGTGGGCACAAAGGGACACGGAAATATAGGGACACGTGGGGGCGTGGACACGAGCAATTGGTGTGAGTGGCCATGTGACTCGAGCTAGCTGGGACACGCCCGACCTATTGACAAGAGAGAGAGAGACGTTTCGACTACAGCAAGGAGATTGATCGTCGTATGATCCACATTTATAAATAGAATAAAAGGCATTGCCGAGAAGTGGTCTTCCTGAAGCTTTAAATTCACGCTACTGTCCGTATATATTTTTTGAAACTTTTGAGTCTCCAGGAAGTAGGTGGAATAATATGAATCCATTCATCCGTGTTTATCCATGGGCAAGAGTGGACTGGAATTGGTCTCCCAGAACTCCAAGCTGTAACCAGTTATCTGAGCTTCAAAGCGGGTCAAGGGAATCGGCACAAGTATCAGAAAAGTTACCATTATCTGCTGTTATCTACAGATGAGAGGAGTGACGTGAAAGTTCTCGTGAATTAATCCGATAAAAGATACCCGGGGAAGTGCATTTTTGCAGCCACTATAGGCGCCATCAATCACCGCATTTTTAATGAAAATAAAAAGACGGAATTTTAAGTTGAATCATGACCATGCATTGTGACGAAAATTTATCAAATCAGCAGCGGTGGTGAATCATTATGCCCTCTTGCAGGTCACATGACCTGGGTATGCATCCACCGAACAGCTGTCAATTGTTGTTGTTGTTGTGTCCTCTTCTAAGTGGGTTTCATGAGACGAGATAATTGCCCTTGGTAGGTGGAGCAGCTGTTCAGACTTGTTTGGAGGAATCCAACGATGCAGAAGCAATTTCATGCATCCTCCTCCACCAGCCCATTTCACCCTCTTATTCACACAGCAACAGTCAAGATGAGCATGCGTAGGACACGCGGGCGAAAATTCGCACGCGAGCGGCGAAGAAATAAGATTGGTAGAGTGGAAAAAAGGGCTGGAAAAGCCATCGAGGGGAGTGGCATTGGGGTATTTTTTGTTAGAAAAATTCCGTGCAAATAGAAATTGCCTATTTGTGCTCCTGCCATCCTTCCCACACCTCCGATCAGCACGCTTGGCTACGTACGGTGCGAAAGAGGTTCACCGTACCTACCATGTATGTCTAACTTCCTTCGCACATGCATATATGTGCGTATGCATGTTGAACTTCTTTCCCACCGTAAGTAGCCAACCGTGCTAATTCGGAGGTGCGAGGGAAGGACAACAAGCAATAAACAGACATCTCCGCATTTGCCTTTAACTCTTGACCTCTTGACCTTCGGGGGCCCCTCTCGCACCCCTGTGGCAGCCCCAGCGAGGGCCCGTGCTGCTCGCACGAGTGCAAGTTACACGCAGCGGGGAAGCTGTGCCGGCCCGAGGCGGAGTGCTCGAAGGCCGGGGTGTGCAGCGGCGACATGGTACGTGTGTGACACGGGGGGGGGGGGGGGGGGAGGAGCGTGTGGAGGTGGGGAGTGGTCATGGCGTACGCGGTTAGCGCTATGCTGCGCTACGAAGCCAGCGTCTCCGGGTTCGATTTCCCGCTCATGGCCAGCCGCCACCAGTGACGATTATCTCAACCGATCATGGGCCTCCCCTAGGTCGACTCACCCCTAAAATGAGTACCTGGTGCGGCGTGTAAACATCGTCACTCGGGAAAAACGTGGTTGCTGGCCACCCACCCCTACGTGTACCTTGCCGGCTTTCATAGCTGCTCACTCGCAGCACTTGCCCCAACAGTCTGTCCAGGCTATACGGGGATCTTTGTCTTTTGTGGTAGAGGCGCAGCCCTGAAATGTTTATTTATCACGCCACTGCTGGTGGAACGGCCTCCGCTGGGAGTGGCGTCGCAGAGGTCAGCGCGCTGCGCTACAAACCCGGCGGCCAGAGTTCGATTTCCCACTCACGGTCAACATCGGTGATAATCGCACCTCCGATTAGCGTATTTGGCTACGTACGGCACAAAAGAAGTCCAACATAGGTGCATATATATTTGATCGTGTCCTGGAGCTTCCCTAGGTTGACTCAGCCTCGGATTAGTACCTGGTGCGGTGTGCAGCAAACATCGCCACTGGGGAGACAAAGGCGGTCGGGCGTGGTGCTGGCCACCCACCCCCTCGTGTGCCGTTCCGGCCTTCATAGGTGCTACTCGCTAAAAGCACTTGCCCCTGCAGTCTGTTAAGGCTGCACGCGGGCATCTTTGTCTTTGAGAGGTGCACGCTTGGAATGACGTGTATTCTGAGAGACTTAGGAACTTGCACACGTATCGGGGAACATAGGCAGGTTAGAGACGTCACATCGACCGCTCAGCAAAGTAAGTGGATTGTGACAGGACGCGTTGCTAAAAGGGATGATGATGATGATGGTGACGACGACGAAATGTGTGACGTACATGATGAAACGATGAACGATGCGGACCGCTGTGTGCACGTGCGCTTCGCTGCTCCCCTTCCGTACACGCGAACAACGAATGAACGAACGCACGCAGGTGATTTGCCTGGCGTCGGAGCCCAAAGACAACCACACGGTGTGCAACAGGGGGTCGCAGATCTGCATGCAGGGGGTGAGTACCGTGATGCGGAGGGCCCAGGCCAGCCGTGTGCTCGCGTCAAACCCACCCACGACGCAAGAGAGGGGGACGACCGGCCGCATCGGCGAGCGGTCGGCCCGGCCGGCCCGCGCCTTCGCACACGTCCTCTCGGAGCGTGTCGCCGGCCGGGTTGTCACGTCTTGCCGGGCAGACGGAGCGAGGAAAATGGCTCGTGTGCGTGCGTGTATGTACGTGTGCACGTTGAACTTCTTTCGCACCGTACGTAGTCAACCATGATAGTCGGAGTAGCTGGCCAGAAGTATTACGTCGCAAGGATCGTGAGCGACGGTCGCGGCTTGTGGAAGCCTTCATCCAGCAGTGGATTGACCCTGAGCTGAGGACGACGACGATGATGATCACTTTCGTTTAGTGCTCACGGGCAGTTCAAATTGGCTCGTCGCTGAAAACCGGTGAGCCTGACCTCGCTGAGGGTTTGAAGGCTTTGCCGGGGTAAATCCATGGGTTGTTGACCCACGTCGTGCGGTGTTTAAGTGTCCCTGTCAAGTGTCTCCATGTGCTCCTACCCAGCCGGGTGGCTCAGCGGTAGAGTGGCTCGCAACCGGATTGCTGCGAATTGAAAGCATGGTTTGGGGTTGAGTCAGCCCCATCATCTCTGCGGGGGAGGGCGGACGTGGTCGATAGATTTAGGACAACTTGATGGGGAAGTCGGCAGTGGGATGTCCTATGGAAAGACTCGTCCCTGACATAGCATTGTGGAATTTCCACCACCGGCTCAGGGCTGTAAACGGCAGATGACCTCCGCCTCAATGGTCATGTGAGCGGCAAATTAACGTTGTCGACCGAATTTTTGCTGGATTGCACCGTACGCAGGGTTTGAGAGGTTCATTAAAAATAACAAGTCCTTCATCTTTGTTGAGAGGGTCATTGACAGAGAGTCAGTCAGCAGAAATGTCAAGATCTTCCTTTAAATCTTAGTTAAAGGAAAAATAAAACCCTGTTAGGTTTTTCGCGGTTGTAGCTGCGTAGCATTTGCGGTGCCATTTCGGGTCGTGTGGCGTGCTGACCGGCACGATGTCCGACGTTCCGCTGCCAGTACGTGGAGTGAAAAACGCCGGAGAGGAGTGCAGCGCACCTTTGCGCATGTACGCAGCGTTAGGCAGAGGCGTTGGAGAGAAGACGGGTCGCCAATTAAGATGCTGAGTGGCACCTGTTAAAATGAATACATATTTTTCATTTTATTTTACCAGGTAAGGCCCACAGAGCTACGTAGCTCTTTCGCAGAAGCGACCTCGCAACAAATCATAGCTCATCGAAGTGGCTCATCATGTGGACATTTATAGCAGACAAATACTCTAAACGCACGTTTCTAAATGTGGAGGAGAAAACCCGGAGGGCCCGGAGAAAAATCCACGTGACCACGGGGGGAGAGAGACGTGCAAACTCTAAATATACAGGTTTGAAAGGGTCGGGATCGAACCCACCACCTCCTCCATACCAGGCGAGGTAGTTAACATCTAGTCACCGTCATGATGATGATGAGAGAGAGAAATATGCAAACTCTAAATATTCAGACTTTTAAGGGTCGGGATCGAACCCACCACCTCCTCCATACCAGGCGAGGTAGTTAACATCTAGTCACCGTCATGATGATGATGAGAGAGAGAAATATGCAAACTCTAAATATTCAGACTTTTAAGGGTCGGGATCGAACCCACCACCTCCTCCATACCAGGCGAGGTAGTTAACATCTCCTAGCCACCGTCATGATGATGATGAGAGAGAGAGGGAGAGAAATATGCAAACTCTAAATATACAGGCTTTTAAGGGTCAGGATCGAACCCACCACTTCCTCCATACCAGGCGAGGTAGTTAACATCATGCCACCGTGTTGAAAGGGTCTGCTCATATATCATCTCCCAGGGGCCCATTCTCTGACGCGGCGTTACTCTCTGCCGTGACTGGAGCAGTCCAGGAAGGATGATGTTTCCCTCGGTGCTGTGATAAAAATTCTGATCGCAGCACGACTGGGATGTCGTGCCAGCGACGCATCGGGAGAGATACCTTTGCTCCTATCCCACCGCTGTGCGTCTCATCCCAGCTGTGCTCGGGCTCCATCTGCGAGCTGTACGGGCTGGAGGAGTGCCACTGCCCTGGGGAAAGTCCTGAGGCCCAGTGCCACATCTGCTGCTCCAACCCAGGTGAGATGCGACCGGAAGTCATCCAGCAGTGGATAGGTCATAGCTGATTATGACGAAGCTATATATATACAACGCCAGACCTGAATGTCAGATGTTTTTTTTTTGTTGTGAGTGATATAACATACGTTTGTCTGCATGTTTATTGTGATGTTATGCTTGCTTATACCCAGGGTAAGCCTTACCGAGCCTCATTTGCTTTTATTCCGTATAATCGTTTAAGCTTTTCGTTTGTTTCATTATAATCGCAGAGCCTTGAACAATTTAAACAATGTTTCAGTAGTATCTTATACTCCCAGGCGCCCGCAATAGACAACCTTTCCACCACGTGCCTCCGTTAATCTTGGGGCCTTCTCCTTGCTGCTCTGCTCAGCTCTGCACATCAAGCAGAAGTTAATCTGCATTAGGACCTGCGATGTGTGGGGGCGGGGAGGAGGATAATAATAATAATAATTGCTATGCAAATCAAAATTAATGCCAACTATGAGCGGCCGAGTTAATTGCGTATTGAGAAGGATTGAAATTAATGGTAATGTGTGGGAAATTATTAAATTATCTGATTACAGTTGGTATTGTGTTGCACCGTCGCTCTCCAGGCACCCGCGTTCGGTATTGTTACACATTTACCGTTATTTGTTGAAGAGGAGCAAGCTCTGTGTTCGGTTACCCCTAGTCAGTTCATCAGCCGTAGTCAAGCCTCATCATACTCTTTGGTTCTTTCGGTAAAGTCACGTAGGTAGAAAAATAAAATAAAATAAAAAAATAATATATCACGACGTTTCGATCGCAACGCAAGCGGTCGTCCTCAGGCGGAAAAAGATAATCCAGCAGTGGAAATGCTGAACCAGCGAGAGAGAGAGAGAGCTGTTACAACAAGGAGGTTAAATATGTGGCGATGGGCAAGCAAGCGGGGTCTGAGCTGGAAAGATATTCCATCCGCGGACACAAGCACGGTCAGTTGTGTTAGTGGGGGGGATTAAGGAGAGAGATTAGGGAGAGAGATTAGCATGAAATGAGCTTCCTTGGCCGCACAAGAGCACCGTCCCCGCATCATCATTAGTAGCGGCAATAGTGGCAACAGCAGCCATGATCTATCCACTGCTGGATGAAGGCCTCATCATCCGCGATGCAGAAATCCGCCCGCCCGCACGCGAGCACGATCCCGTCGCTCCATGCAGGCAGTGGGCACGCTCCCCCTTAGGCGCGTTTCCCTCCTTGCCGTCGGCCGTCCTATCCGTGTGCCCTGCCCAAACCCACCCGAAGGTTTCTTAAGAGCCAAAGCGATGCCTCTGATTTGCATCCTCTCCCTAGTCTCCCAGTGTAACTCGGGCTATACGATGTGGGATGTTCATCTCTGCCGCACTGCGAGTGGCAGTGCAGCCGTTAGCCCGCTGCGTTACCCGGGGTTCGATGCCCTCCCACGGCCACCAACACCGGTGACGATTATGTCAACCGGCCCTGGGCCTCCCCGAGGTCGACTCAGCCTCAAATGAGTACCTGGTGCGGTGCGTGAGCATCGCTACACAAAGTTGGCGTTGGCCACCGACCCCCTCGCGTGCCACAGTGCGTGCCTTCATAAGGTGCTCGCTCGCAGCCGTCTGTTACAGACTATATGGGGGGGAGGGGGCATCTTTGTCGTGTATGGTGTGGGGTTTGGGGGGGGGGGTGATGCCTGCCTCTTGTCACGCCGTGAGCAGGCGAGTCCTCCTCGTGCGCCGGCACGTCGGCGGAGCGCTGGCGGCGCTACTTCAACGGGTCGCGCGTAGCGCTGCAGCCCGGCTCGCCGTGCGACGGCTTGCGCGGCTACTGCGACGCCATGCGGCGCTGCCGGCGCGTCGACGCCGAGGGGCCGCTCGTGCGGCTCAAGAAGGCCTTCTTCGAGGGCAAGATCTACCTCAACGTGGTGCAGTGGGTGCAGGCGAGTAGCGGCTCGCGCATCGGAGGAGGGTGGCGGCGGCGGGGGGGTGTAAGAATCTAATATGAAGAAATAAGAATTGGTATTCTTTCGGTAAAGTCACGTAGATTAAAAAAATGAAAAATATATTAAATAATAATAAATTGAAAATAATAAAACAAAAACCCACAATAAAAATAAAAAAATTGTAAAATCAAGTAAAAAATAAAGTGAAAATAATAAAACAAAGCCATAATGAAAGAAACATTTAAACAAGAATTGGTTTTGCCATTTCTGGCAATAAAATAGGTGTTGAGATGTTTAAACAGCAAATAGAAACCGTTTGCAAGGAATCAAGAATATTGCAAACAAACATCAAAAAACCGGGTTAATTGTAATTTGCGAGTTATTCGCTGTGTCGATCCATTAACCAATCGATTGAGTAATCCCATTGGTTAGTATAGCGTCGTGTGACATGCCCCCTTTAGAGCGTGTTTGTTTGCATGTTCACCACAAGCAGGGGCGGAGCCAAAGGGGGGGCTAGGGGGGGGCTGGGGGGGGGGCTGGGGGGGGGGCTCAGCACCCCCTGAAATTTTGGGAAAGTCGGTAATTGGGATAACCGGATATCCGGCTGCTGCAAAATGCTGCAGGCTGCCACCTCGTGCTGCCCTGCAGGCTGCCTGAGCGGCAGCCTTTAGAACTTATCGAACTTATTTAGCCACATCAGCGGCTCCGACCTATTAATAAACTCCGCATTCAAATCCAATTCAATTTGTTTTATACACATTTTGTGGCGCCCATTGGAAAACATGAACACTGGATATCTCACAATATTGAAGTCAGCCCCCCCAAAGACAAAATCCTCGCTCCACCCCTCACCACAAGTTTGCGTGGTTTATGCAGACTTTATTCCCTGCAAAAGTATTTCTTTGGTGTTTGAACATCTTGACACCTGTTTTATTGCCAGAAAGGGTAAAACGTATTTTGATGCTGACAAAAAGTTGCCATGATGTAGCTGCTCAACCCAAGCTATAAATGCTCTGATAGTGGCATTTGTCTTTGGACCGTTCGCCTTTTGGCGTTCTCTGGTCTCACACTGGTGAGACAAGGCCATAGAGAAGGCCGTCTCTGGCGTAGGCCAATCAGTTTCAAAAACAAGGCAAGTATATTATCAGAGCGTGTTTGTTTGCATGTTTTGCCACAAGTACCGTGTGGTTCATGCAGAATTGATGCCTTGGTGTTTAAACATTTTAGCACCTGTTTTATTGCCAGGTAAGACATCTTCATATTTTTTTCACACGCCCCCTTTTCTTGATTGGCTAATATCTGCATGGGTCGGCGATTCCGTCGCAGTCCCGTTTTTATTGTATCACAACCCCACGGCGCCGGTGCCGTGGGGCTGTTTCGGTGACGACTCAGGGCGGAAAGGACAGCCACAACCGGCGATGCCAACTGTTGACCAAGCTTTGTGGCCCGATATTGAGATGTTTGGCCAACTCCATCAATGCGGCTCACGCAGAGGTCAGTGCTACAGTAAGGGAAAAAAGTATTTGATCCCCTGCTGATTTTATACGTTTGCCCACTGACAAAGAAATGATCAGTCTATAATTTTAATGGTAGGTTTATTTGAACAGTGAGAGACAGAATAACAACAAAAAAAATCCAGAAAAACGCATGTCAAAAATGTTATAAATTGATTTGCATTTTAATGAGGGAAATAAGTATTTGACCCCTCTGCAAAACATGACTTAGTACTCTTTGGTTCTATTCGTACTTGGTGGCAAAACCCTTGTTGGCAATCACAGAGGTCAGACGTTTCTTGTAGTTGGCCACCAGGTTTGCACACATCTCAGGAGGGATTTTGTCCCACTCCTCTTTGCAGATCTTCTCCAAGTCATTCAGGTTTCGAGGCTGACGTTTGGCAACTCGAACCTTCAGCTCCCTCCACAGATTTTCTGTGGGATTAAGGTCTGGAGACTGGTTAGGCCACTCCAGGACCTTAATGTGCTTCTTCTTGAGCCACTCCTTTGTTGCCTTGGCCGTGTGTTTTGGGTCATTGTCATGCTGGAATACCCATCCACGACCCATTTTCAATGCCCTGGCTGAGGGAAGGTTCTCATCCAAGATTTGACGGTACATGACCCCGTCCATCGTCCCTTTGATGCGGTGAAGTTGTCCTGTCCCCTTAGCACAAAAACACCCCCAAAGCATAATGTTTCCACCTCCATGTTTGACGGTGGGGATGGTGTTCTTGGGGTCATATGCAGCATTCCTCCTCCTCCAAACACGGCGAGTTGAGTCGATGCCAAAGAGCTCAATTTTGGTCTCATCTGACCACAACACTTTCACCCAGTTGTCCTCTGAATCATTCAGATGTTAATTGGCAAACTTCAGACGGGCATGTATATGTGCTTTTTTGAGCAGGGGGACCTTGCGGGCGCTGCAGGATTTCAGTCCTTCACGGCGTAGTGTGTTACCAATTGTTTTCTTGGTGACTATGGTCCCAGCTGCCTTGAGATCATTGACAAGAGCCTCCCGTGTAGTTCTGGGCTGATTCCTCACCGTTCTCATGATCATTACAACTCAACGAGGTGAGATCTTGCATGGAGCCCCATGCTGAGGGAGATTGACATTTCTTTTGTGTTTCTTCCATTTGTAAATAATCGCATCAACTGTTGTCACCTTCTCACCAAGCTGCTTGGCAATGGTCTTGTAGCCCATTCCAGCCTTGTGTAGGTCTACAATCTTGTCCCTGACATCCTTGGAGAGCTCTTTGGTCTTGGCCATGGTGGAGAGTTTGGAATCTGATTGATTGATTGCTTCTGTGGACAGGTGCCTTTTATACAGGTAACAAGCTGAGATTAGGAGCACTCCCTTTAAGAGTGTGCTCCTAATCTCAGCTCGTTACCTGTATAAAATACACCTGGGAGCCAGAAATCTTTCTGACTGAGAGGGGGTCAAATACTTATTTCCCTCATTAAAATGCAAATCAATTTATAACATTTTTGACATGCGTTTTTCTGGATTTTGTTGTTGTTATTCTGTCTCTCACTGTTCAAATAAACCTACCATTAAAATTATAGACTGATCATTTCTTTGTCAGTGGGCAAACGTACAAAATCAGCAGGGGATCAAATGCTTTTTTCCCTCACTGGATAAATTTCCACGCAATGACAAGCTGCTTCGACGAGCTGTCATTTGTGGCCAGGTCGCTTTTGAAAAAGAAGATAATAGCTCAGTCGACTTTACCTGGTAAAATAAAAAATATTTATTCGTGATTGGTTTATCTTTCCTATACTTTGCACTCCTATCGTTTTTTTTAATTGTTTGTTGTTGTAACTTTCTGACCCGTCCCAGCTGGACATCTGCGAAAAAGAGCTTTGTAGCTCATCGGATTCTTCCAGTATAAATAAATGTTCTGATTATTATTATTAATGAGTGCTTATACACGTGGCAGGATACCGGAGTAACCTGAGAAATCCCACGGGTGCGAGGAGGATGTTAATACTCAATCCTTGTACAGATGGAATACGGAGGGCAATTAATCCACTTGCCCTACTTGCCGTAACCCTGGCAGGCCAGGAGATGGCGACACTCGCAGCTTAGAGCAGTGGTTCTTAACCTGGGGTGCACGCAGCCCCCTGGGGCGCGCGAGATGCCCTTTTTGGAGGCGCGAGACATAGCCAGATTTCTGTCGAAGGTAAATCATCGAAACACAAATTAATCACCGGCACGTAAGTAGAACAACTTTGTTTCATCAAGCCTATGTATTTGTTAACATTGTACATTTTAACACGTAGGCTTTCGCGACCAATATTATTCATAATAAAGGTTTTTGGGTTAGATCGCGTTTATTTATAAATCTGTCGTAACCCTCCACCACCCGACACGGCCAATCAGCAAAAAAAGTGTCACGTTGACAAAAGACAAATAATTCACTACTTCAGCCCACCGGTGTGTTGAAGAGTTAATCCACATTTACAGTTTGAGTACGACGTTTCGCTGGTAAATACATCCAGCATCATCGGGCAATTCGCCAGAATGGTAAAGCCCTCGCTTGCTCCCGGTTTTTATATAGTGCATGCAGGGTGACGTCATCACTTAATTCATATCAGGTGCAGTGATTAGAGGCGGAGGGGGAGGGTATTGTAATTATATAATCGATTAGTAATCAGTCATTGGTTATGATTAGTAATGAGTTGTAGATTAGTAATTCTTTAAATGTAATGTGTATTATTTAACAATACGCTTCCAGGCCGCACTAAGCCGGTAGCTGTCAGAGCGATTAAAGTTATTCTTGTTCCTCTCAATTTCAATGCATTCTCTAATTAGTCTTTGCCAGTAATAATTAGTTTTACACACCACTGCAACATTGTCAAAATCAATTGAGTGTCCTTGTTGACAAGCATGTTCTGCCACTGCCGACAGTTGTGTTTGAGATAATTTAATATTTCTCTGATGTTCTTTTAGTCTTACGCTGATGTTACGTCCCGTCTGCCCAATGTAGCAGCTGCCACATGAACAATTAATCCGATATACACCTTCTGTTGATAGTTTAGGTAATGCATCTTTAGTGCAGGATACTAGTTTTTGAATTTTGTGTACTGTACCAAATCTTACTGTAATGTTTTGCTTTTGCAGAACACGGGCTAATTTGTCAGTTACTCCTGAGATATATGGAATTTTTATTGTTTTAACAATCTGGTCGCTTTCAGTAGTATTGCTTTGCGATCGTGATTTGGCATTCAGTGCTCTGTTAATTTGAGCATTATTGTAGCCATTCTGTCGTAGTGCGTCTTTAACGTGTTTAATCTCTCTCACTAGACTCTCACCATCTGACACTGTTTTGGCCCGATGTACGAGCGTCTTGATAAGAGAGGATTTCTGAGCTGGATGATGATGTGATTCTGCATTCAGATAGGCATCAGTGTGCGTTTGCTTTCTGTAAACGCTGTGTGTTATTTTACCGTTTAAGCCATGTCCAAGCAAAATATCTAGGAATGGGAGTGTGTTATTCACCTCCATTTCCATGGTGAACTGGATGGCCGGGTTTTGTGCATTGAGATGATTTAGAAAATCATTAAGTGTATCTTTACCATGTGGCCAGACAACCAAAGTGTCATCCACATACCTAAACCAAAAGGATGGTTTTAATGTGCTCGAGGCAAGTGCTCTTATTTCAAAGTTTTCCATGTACAAATTTGCTATAGCAAGGACACTCAATTGATTTTGACAATGTTGCAGTGGTGTGTAAAACTAATTATTACTGGGAAAGACTAATTAGAGAATGCATTGAAATTGAGAGGAACAAGAATAACTTTAATCGCTCTGACAGCTACCGGCTTAGTGCGGCCTGGAAGCGTATTGTTAAATAATACACATTACATTTAAAGAATTACTAATCTACAACTCATTACTAATCATAACCAATGACTGATTACTAATCGATTATATAATTACAATACCCTCCCCCTCCGCCTCTAATCACTGCACCTGATATGAATTAAGTGATGACGTCACCCTGCTGCTCTATATAAAAACCGGGAGCAAGCGAGGGCTTTACCATTCTGGCGAATTGCCCGATGATGCTGGATGTATTTACCAGCGAAACGTCGTACTCAAACTGTAAATGTGGATTAACTCTTCAACACACCGGTGGGCTGAAGTAGTGAATTATTTGTCTTTTGTCAACGTGACACTTTTTTTGCTGATTGGCCGTGTCGGGTGGTGGAGGGTTACGACACATTTATAAATAAACGCGATCTAACCCAAAAATCTTTATTATGAATTGTACATTTTGTAACGAATGAGAACCGAAGGGGTGCAAAGGCTGCAGCAACGGATAAGAACCACTGCCTTAGAGGGCTTGTGAGTTTCACAAATTTGCGTGGTCCACCAACCCTCGCTGCCTCCACAGCGCTGGATTAGAGGCGCGCACAGCCACCGAGTGCCCAGCTTTGCCACCTTTCCCACTGCGGACCAAACCCGGACACGTTCCTCAGTCAGCCGAGGTCTTTTATCAAAACGGTGCAGTGTTCTGTTTATAAAGTTGAACACAGCAATACCGGTGTCAAATCTCGGCACAAATCCATTCCTGCCATCCGAACACAGATTCTGATTCCCAGGTGGCAACCCTCGCCGGTATGAATGCCACGTACAACATGAACAGGCGGTGTGACGCATAAAGCGAGGGTTATTGATCGGGATTAATCCGAATGCGTTGTAAATAGGAAAAGGTGTAGCCCTGCAAAATGCTTGCTCACTCCACTGCTGCACGTGTGTTTCGTTACTTTTATGTCCGTGTGTGCACGTGCTTTATGTGAGTGCGCGCATGTGTTGGGAGAGTGTGTGTATTTTGAACCTCTTTCGCACCGTACATAGCCAACAGTGCTAATCGGAGGTACGGTGTGAAGTGTGTATTGCAACTGCTAGCTCTGCGTTATGGACCCATCGACCCGAGTTTGATTCCCACCCACGGCCACCAACACCAGTGACGATTATCTGAATGGGTCGGTCCTACGCCTCCCCTAGGTCGACTCAGCCTCAAACGAGTACCCTGGTGCGGTGTGTAAACATCGCCACTGGGGAGACAAAGGCAGCCGGGCGTGGTGCTGACCACCCGCCCGCCCTTATTGTGCCGTGCCGGCCTTTATAGGTGCTACTCGCTAACAGCACTCGACCCAAGAGTCTGGTAAGGCTTAGATGGTGGATCATTGTCTTGTATGCGTCATAGTTATTGGTATATGCACGCGTACGTTTGCCATGGCAGAAGTACTGGTGGGGTGCGGCTCTCATCGGCGTGGGCGTCGTCGTCGCCATGATCCTCTTCATCGTCGTGTGCAGCGCCCACGTGCCCAGCAGCAACCCCAACTTCACCCCTCCGCGCTTCTTCTCAGGTGACGCCACTCACGAGGGCCCCCACCGGCGCCGCTGTCGCTCTCTCTCTTGACTCGTGGCCCTAGGCTGCGTTCACGCAGGGTCGCCTAGGCCTCGTCACGGATGTGTGTCGCAATGCCACAAAAATGTTCCGAAAGGCTCTCAACGTGGTGAGCTGGTAGCCCCTCCCTCTTTTGCCCTCCCTCAGCTCCACCTACTTTTACATTGCCACGCCCACTCACTCGCTAGGCCCCTCGACCCCACCTACTTTTACATAGCCAAGCCCACTCACTCACTCGCCCCCCCCCACCACTACACAGGCCCCGCCTACGTCTTTGTCAACCACGCCCACTACTCAATGTGCCCCGCCCTTTCATCACTGGTCGAGGGGAGGTCAGAAAATGAAAATAAAACGTGAAAATGAATTCTGATTTTCTGCGACGCAGGCAAAACCGGGACGTTTACTAGCTCTACTGGCATTAACAACATAATTGCGTACACAGTCCTCACACTGGACACTAACACGATAATGCCAAATATAATACTCACACTGACACGAACGCGGGAATGCAGAACACGGTACTAACACTGACACTCACACACCGTGATTTCGAACAAAGCCCTGATACTGATTCTCACCGTAACCTTTTGTAGGATCTTATTTGTAACCAAGAATTCCAACGCCACCTCGCGTTATCAACGCATTGCACGCAGACACTCTTGTTGCAAACGACATGTAAACATCTTCTTTGGTTCTTTCGGTAAAGTCACGTAGAATGAGAATAAAATAATAAATTGATAAAATAAAATAACACAATAATATTCTCACGACGTTTCGGCCACAACACAAGCGGCCTTCATCAGGTGAGTGAAAAAGCGCTGTCCTATCAGACAGTCTCGTACCTTCACCTGATGAAGGCCGCTTGTGTTGTGGCCGAAACGTCGTGAGAATATTATTGTTATTTTATTTTATCAATTTATTATTTTATTCTCATTCTACGTGACTTTACCGAAAGAACCAAAGAAGATGAATCCTTGCAGTCACGAAAGCTTTAAATCGACATGTAAACACTCTGTGAACTAACTCTGCAACCCTAACGCGTGTACAACGCTTACTCTGACTCTAGGCACGAACCAGACCTTAGCACTAACACCATAATCCCAAGCACAGCTCTAATCATAATAATATGTCAACCTTGACACGAACCCAAGTTCACCGTTGTGTGAGCATCATTCATTCCTGACCTTGAACCATTGGGAGGCATAAAAAAGCCAATTTTTCGCCGATGCTAGCCACTTAATTTTCCAAATTTGTACTCTCTTGAAAATATCTATTTTCTTTTGGCGCCCTTTCATTATTTTTAAACCATTTAAATTATGGAGCGGCTTTGTTGTTGTCATCATTGTCATCTTCGGTTGGGAGGTGGGGGGGGGGGAGATGGTGGATGTGGTTGAAGGCAGTGATTTGTTTGCAAACAAGTGTTCACCCGTTGAGTCTGCTTCGCGTCAATAGGTGCTCGTTGTTGAATGTAGGCCACCGCGGGTGATTGCTCGCACAGAGTGGGGGGGGGGGGGGGGGGGGGGGGGGGGGGGGGGGGGGGGGGAGAGGAAGTTTATCGAGAGGCATGCTGCAGTAAATAACAAACAAAAATACCAGTGAGAATTCAATGGCAACCATTCCACGTTCTGCCAAAATAAATCAGACGTCTCTTATTCTTGGTTCTTTCGGTAAAGTCATAATAATATATTTTATAATAAAAATAAAAATATATTTTTATTTTTATTATTTTATTGTTTCCCTTCTACGTGACTTTACCGAAAGAACCAAGAATATGAATCCCTGCAGTCACGACAGCTTTAAATCAAAAATTCAGACGTCTCTTGTTGTATTTGTTAGGATGTGTTTATTGAATGGGGGGGGGGGGGGCGTTGAGGGGGCTAGTAGCGCAGTCGGCTATCTGCTGTGCCGCCGCTATGACAACACGCTGACCACACCACTTCCCACCGTGTCGCCACAGCGACCCCGAATAGGCGCTCGCTAACAGCACTCGCAACAAACTTCACTCATCGATTCCCACCAGGCACTGACCGTTTCGTCTCATCCACCACACCGTGTTCAACTGCCACACTGCAGGTCACATCAACATGCTCACCCACTCACTCGCACAGTCACCCACTCATTCACCCGCAAAGATTCCCCCGTATAGCATTAACAGATTGTTGGGGCAAGTTCTGTTAGCGAGCGCCAATGAACGCCGGCACGGCACACGATCGGGTGGGCTGCCAACACCACGTGATGTTTACGCACCTCACCGGGTACTCATTTGAGGTTGAGTTGGCCTAGGGGAGGACCAGGACTGGCTCAGATAATTGTCACCGGTGTTGGTGGCCGTGAGCGAGAATTGAACTCGGGTCGCCGGGTTTGTAGTGCAGCGCGCTAACCACTACGCCACCGCTCTCCTCACTCACACTCACTCACTCATGCGCCACACTGCAGGTCACAAACTCTTCTCTTTCTGCTTCTTTCCTCACACTGCTCAACTTTGGAATTCCCATACTCTTTGGTTCTATTCGGTAAAGTCACGTAAAAAACAAAAAAAAAAAATAAAAAAAAAATTCACGACGTTTCGGCCACAACACAAGTGGCCTTCATCAGGTGAAGGGACCAGACTGTCTAGAGGACAGCGCTGGAGTGAACACAGCCAAGCTCAGACCGCGACCTTTAAGCTGTGTGAGAGGAAGCAGAGCGCCTTTACAAAGGAATTAGCATAAAATTAGCATTTAATTGGCGGACTTAGCAGGGGGGGAGCATCGTCTCTTATTCCAAAAGCCCTTCACAATAACCTCGTGCAATTGAAGAAACGTTTTAACCATTACCTTTTACGATTTTGATCGTGCCGTACGTTAACGTTTTGGGTTCTTTGAAACCTGTTCTCCACCACTGTGTTAAAAAAAAAACCCAAACCAGTCGGTGCAGGTTCAACGTGAACCTATGCCGTGTACGTATGTATATTGAACTTTCCTTCGCACTGTACGTAGCCAACTTTGCTAATCGAAGGTGCGGCGGAAGGACAACAAACTAAACGCAAAAAGCAGTTCTAAAGAAATGAGTTTGTCAATCTAAATGTTGATGATTTAAAAGTGCATAGCTCCAGTGGCTTCCTAATATCGGAAGGAAGAGCGTTCCAGGCGGCCGCAGAAGCGCATCTGACCGCCTTTGTTCGATGGTTAGCCAAAAGCCGCTGCTGCGATGACCGGAGTGTCGCGTGATGACGGTTCAAGCTCCTTGACGAGATCAGCGAGGTACTGTGGTTCATTTGTGGCAGGCACTTTGCGTGCAACGAGTGCACACCGTGTGATGTTTTCGTTCGGCAACCGCAAGCCAATGCGGCTCGACGACACGGTCAGATCTTGCCGTACGGACGTGGTTTGGACGCCGTTTGTTGTCACTGTGACCTTGCAGCCTCGCGAGCTTCCCGGCCGAACCGCGCGAGGGACGTGCGGGCGAGGCAGCCCAGGCAGTCCATCGAGATGCAGTAGCGACCGCAGCCGTCGTCCGAAGACCCCGAAGGAGTCACGGTTCACGCCAGGGGCAAGGGTCGTCGTTGTGCACCACGAGGCAGTGGCTAGCCGACTGTGGAGATGGGGGTGCAGGGTGCTGGGGTGGTATACGAGCTGTGGGGAGACGGGGGGTCAGGCTGGGGTGGTGGTACCGCGTGTTTCTCGCGGAGAGCATCCTTGCTAAACATCTGGCAGTTCGCCAGCATTGGCTTGAAGCGAGCCTGACACAATCAAAACCGGTTACGGAGTTTGCGTGTGTTAAACCAATTTTGCTGAAATTAGGCGCTCCTAGGAGGCCGTGCGGCTGGTGTGATGCGTATTTATTTTGTGGAGGGATGGTTGCGGGTATTATTTGCTCCCCTCCCCCTTTAACCCCACCAGCCCCACCGGATTCCCCTAAACCACCCCCCCCCCCGCCTCTTTTAGGCACCGGCCCAACCCCGCTGTGGCACCACCTATGGCTCACATACCCTGGGTGACCATTGGAATTTATATAGCTTGGTTCTCACACTGGCTATTGACAATAGCGCGAGGCATTGAAATTCTCAAAGTGTGCGCAAGTCGCTCGGTGGGTTTGCCTCACGGTCAGCAACTTTGCGGACCACCGCAAGGTACGGTTTTGTTTGGGACTGATTGTAGTTGGCAAAACGTGGAGCGACGCTCCATCGTAAATTACGGGAGCCAACGGTCAAACACGTCGCCGATGTGGAGCTGGGTTTGCGAGCGCCACGGTGGAGAGATGTTAACTAGCTCGCCTGGTGTACAGGAGGTCGTGAGTTTTATACCAACCCTGACAGCTGCTGTACATTTAGAATTTGCATGTTCTCTCTCCCCGCGGTCGCGTGGATTTTTCTCCGGGTCCTCTGGGTTATTCCTCCACATTTGGAAAGATGCGTTTAGAGTAACTGGCTGCTAAAAAAAAATCCACGTCATGAGTCAGCTCGCTGAGCTCTCATTTGTGGCGAGGTTGCTTCTGTGGTGAAATAAAAAAAGAGTTTATAGTTTAAATAGTTTCGTTTATCCTAATCAGATGACACGGATGACAAGCTGATATAATGTCAAGATAAAACATTTTTTGTTAACTGGTATTGGGAATGCTTAAAAATTACTTGCAAATAACTTAATTTGGATTACAAATATAGCAACATCGCAATCAAAAAAACGCTCGCTTTGTACATCGCTGAAGTTAGTCGTGGCTGCCACTGGGGGTGGGGTGGAAGGAAAAGGATGCCTTATTTACCGACAGATGAGACATCTGACCTTGAGGAGTTGGGACTTTCTATGCTCAAGAGATAATCGCGTGCAATCTGGCAGCGTGTGTGTATGTGCATGCACGGGGGGAGCGGCAGTGTAGTGGTTAGCACCGCTGCATTACGAACCCAGCGACACCGAGTTCGATTCTCGCTCACGGCCAACACCGGTGACGATTATCTGAACCGCTCCTGGGCCCCCCTAGGTCAACTCAGCCTCAAATTAGTACCTGGTGCGGTATGCAAACATCACCACTGGAGAGACAAAGGTGGCCGGGCACGGTGCTGGCCACCCAGCCCCTCGTGTGCCGTGCTGTGCCGGCCTTCATAGGTGCTTGCTAACAGCACTTGCCCCGACAGTTTGGTAAAGGCTATCCGAGGGGAGCTTTGACTTTGTCTTTGCTGCCCCATGTATGCATGTCACCACTTTTTTTTTTAAAGAAGTTGGGACTCCGCCTGGAAAGTAAATAAAACCAATCTCTACAGCCGTGCTTCATTTTTCCATCCGGTAAAAAAAAAAACACATTCTCAAACGACGACACTCGGCACACGAAAAAAAATGTTTATCGCTTCCTCTGCGGAGGAGGATCTGCTCCACACCGTGGGGGTCGCAGATGTTGCTGCACGGGTCACTTTGCAGCGGGCTGATATTAATGGGTTGGTGAGAGGGGTGAGGGCAGTGGGGGGGGGGGGGGGGGGGGGGGGGGGGCGGGGGAACGGGTGGGGTAATGGGAAAATCGGAAAATAACATGGGAGAAGCAGTGAACTCTGGCTGTGCGGATTCACTCCATGCATTTAAGCGTGTTGTTTCGTCACACACACCCAAACACGCATCGACGTTTGGGATGAAATGCATCTCTTCAGGAGGCCAGAGCAGCGCTTGAGAGCCTGGGTTCGAATCCGGGGTTCAAGCCACTGCCTGTGATTAAATCGGGGTTCTCAAGCGCAATGCGTTGATGGTCTCAGCCCGGTCACCGAATGGGTTTGGCCCAAAAACTCCCGTCGCATTCAATGTGCTTCTCCACTCTGAATTTGGCAGAATTTCCAGTTCTGAGAATTAACAAAAATATCGGTTTGGCCGTCATGCGGTGGACATGGCTCTCATGTGGCAGAGCGGGTGGGCAAGTGCTGCCCCCTACTCTGAGACGCAAACTTGAATTGATCTGCGATGCGTCTGTTTATGCGAGCCAACAACGTCTAACACGAAGCGTTTCTCCGCTCTGAAAGGAAATTCGAACGGATACTTTCTTTTGACAAAGTAACGTTTTCAAAAATATGATTCGGAACAGAAGCAAAAGTCTGATATATAAACCAATGCGTAGAATGGTAATGTTGTTATCGCTAATTAAATACTTTCAAGGACAAACTCAATGTTCGGAAAGCATGACAGAATCAATGCATTTGTATGATTTTCTTGGTTTTTTTATTCGTTTCTCTTAGTGAGAGCTGTTACATGGAGCCTCCTTCCTTGGACAAATCCCTTCTGGAGACATTTCCTGCGGCTACGGCTACCCAGTGCGACGCGCTCGCCTGAATCTGGATCAAGTAAAAAAATAACCACTCTCGGAAGAAACTGTTGGATGAAATTGATTGGCTCGTTTATTTATTTGATGCCCTACTTTAGAGTAGAACTGCTGCTGCTATATTAACGCAAGCACGGAATATATGGCCTGTTCAAGGAAGGGATCTGCTTCAGAAGCTTGTTTGTTATCTGGTAGATGAACTGGCGATAGTGTTGTGTTGTGTGTGGCATAAACGTGGGAGTCTTGAGAGAGGAAGACGTGAGAAGTGTAGAAAGTCTGGAGATGTGTGTTTTGGTGTCAAATGGGAAAAAAATATATAATGAGTTCGACGGAGAGTAAGAGAAATGGGGAAGTACTCCAGCAGGTTCAGGAGGAGATGAGTCACTTTAGGAAAATACAGAAAAAAGCCACAGCTGAACATTGGGCACAGGCTTAGAGGTGGGAGCTTGGTGAAGGAAGATTTTAGGGATGCTTGCAAAGAGACCACAAAGAGGCAGGAACAGAAAGATGCTGCTTTGCCAACTTGAAGGCAGCGAGGCTGTTCAGTGAAATGAAGAGGGAGAAAGCTCAGAGTCGGATAGCACGGAGGAAGTTTGAGACAAGGATCTGCCATTGGGGCAGAGGACTAAAGAGAGGGCATAAAAATAAGATAATTGTAAATACATCTATAGTTACCGAATCGCATGGGTCGTGAAGAGATGATGGAGCTGGCTGCTTTGATCGAAGTTTGCTCAAGTGCCTTGTTCATTAAATTTGTGTACAGTGGTTTGTGTTTTTTTTATTGTAAATACTGTAAGCATATTCTGTTTCAAGTGCCTGTGTGGATAAGGCTTGACTGGGGGGGGGGGGGGGGGTTGTGTGCACGCGTAGTTCATGATTTCTGATATTAAAGACACGAGTTTTTGTGCGTCTCAAACTGTCATTTACATCGAGCGTCCTCAAATGTTTGTGGTTACCAACTCTAGTAATTGGGTAAGTGAGTTTTGAACAATAATAATAATAAGGGGTTAGTTTCATGCATATAGCGTCGTCGTTTATTCAAAATTGCATCTCGTGAAATCGCTCCGGGAACCGCAGACGATCTGGAAGGCAGCAGCCAAACGGTGAGGGGCCAGCGCTACCAACAATTCGGAATCGTGTATTTATCCTCGAGGAATCTAATGAGCTATGAAGCTCTGTTTTCACATGTCCAGTCGGGGCGGGTCAGGAAGTTACAGCAACAAACAATACAAAAAATCATTGTATTTCCCAAGCTCAGCAGTCCTCTACATATTAAGATGTTTGCAGCCAATTATTGAGTGTATATACACGTGGGAGGAAACCGGAGCTCCTGTGAGAAAACCTATGCGTGCGAGGGGGCAACGCTCTATCCCATACACATACGACAGATGTCATTCTGCACTTTGCTGTACCACCTTCTGGCAAGTATTTGGGGCAGTGTTCGTCATTGCAAGGCCCATGGGCCACTGGCGGCCCCTGGTGGCCTTTAGTGCGGCCCCTGATAATAAACAAATGTAAACACCCCCCCACCCCTCCCACATCACCGTGCTGTCTTCACACTGATTGATGTCTTATCGGCGAAAGTGCCCCCACCCCCCTCTGAAAATGAGTGAAGAACGCTGTTATGAGCTGATGCATCTCGACATCCACGGGCTGGGGAGTTTGGCAATGTCTGTCTGACCCACCAAGTGCTGCAGCACAGGTCACGTGCGTAGCCAACCGCCGCCCAGCAGCCCTTTCATGAGGTTAGCGTCCCATTCTTACACACAAACGTAAGCCGAGAAGAGTCACACCAGGCTGGTTACAATTAGGGTGCAACCAACAAAAAAGCAATCGGACGAGAGGGTTAACAGGTGGGAGCCTCTGCAGTTATGTCGTAAATACGACTGGACGTCTGTGGAAAAGAGCTTGATAGCTCATCCGATTCCTCCGATATAAATGAATATTCTGATTCTGAGTTAACGCCACTGCTGGCTGAAGGGTCTCCATTAGGGAGCTCTAGGTGGAATTTGGCCTACTCTTCTCCGCTGATCAGACGTCTTGTAAGAGGTGGGAGTACGCACACTTTACCCCAGGGGACGTCCATGAATGACGTCACGCACCTAGGGGGGGGGGGGTCAGACATTTGTGACGCCGTGTGACGAAGGGGGGGGGGGGGTGGTCAAAAATCGTCCAAAATTGCGTGACGTCATTTATGGACGGCCTCCCACCGCATGCGATGGACTGTGGTTACACTGCTGGGTGGACAAACCGCGGCGCGCTCCATACAGCGTGGTCCTTATTGTGATCCCCACTCCGATAGCATCCACTCCGTGCTGAGCATAAACACAACCACTGCGCTTCCACGCGCTTCCTCTTGCAGATCTCACGCTGGGAGTGGAACTCCCGGGCACATTTGGGGGCGTGGGCGATGAGAACCCGATATCCCGAGTTCGATTCTGGGCCACGGCGAACATCAGTGGCTAGTGGCATCTGAACGAGATCTGTCCCCCCCCCCCCCCAACTCTCCTCCCCATCCCCTCAATTCACCAACCCGAGATGTTAACTACCTCGCCTGGTATACAGGAGGTCGTTGCTTCGATCCCGACACTGACAGTCTGTTGTATTCTGGAATGTGCACGTCTTAAAAACGTGGTCGTATTGTCTGGGGCCGCACTAAAGGCCACCAGGGGCAACCGAATGGCCTGCGGGCCTTGCAATGAAGAACTCTGGTTTAGAGTATTTGCCTGCGAAACATTTCCACTATAAGCCACCTCGTTGAGCTATCAATTTTGGCCAGGTCGCTTAAAAAAAACTATATAGATCAGCGGGCCTTATATGGTGAAATAAAAATGGTTTAAATAGTTTAATGTGGTGAATTATGTCCAAATAATAAATAACCCTCCCCCCCCCATCCCCAGGACCCGCACAAGCGTGTGGGAGACCCTCATCTAGCAGTGGATTTACAAAGGGGGGAGGTGACGGGGGTGCAAGGACATTCATTGTTTAGCCAGACACAGCGACAAACTTCTACGGTGCCTAGCACACGTGACATTACAATTATCTTCACGTGTCATTAGTCATGTGCTGTGGTTGTTCAGCCTGGACGCAATTGATGCCCATTCATCATCAGTGGAGGTCTCGGAATGAACCACTTCTGGCAGAAGGGGGGATTTAGTCTAATGCTTAATTACAATTGAAGTTAAAAAAGCGAACCGAACGCAATCAAGAACTTAGCCGAATACTTCCATGGCTTTATGAAGTATACTTAATTGAAAGGTGCCTTAATTATTGTAAATTAAACCAGCGGCAGGGAACGAATGCAAACAACGGCTCGATGCATCATTGTACGCGTAATACGCACCGCCCACATCCCCCCACCCACCCCCACCGCGCTGAGTTCGAGATGGACTCTTCCATACGTGGTTTAAAAAAAAAACTCGTGGGGCAAGGTTTGTTGGGAGTTTGGTTTGGAAAGAGGAGTCCGGTGTGGAGTGGTTAAAAAACTTCGACCGACTTGGAGAGCGTTTATTGTGCAGCAAGAGGAAGGAGTTGGAGAAGTTTGAGAGAATCGCAAAGTTTTTTCGCTGCCAGGATTGGGCCAAGAAGACTGACCCAAATAGCAACAACTTGTCTCTCTCTCTCTCTTCAAAAGTTCCCGTTCAAACGATTTGGAATCGTCCTAATCTCTCCCCACACCCCCACCGCACCGTTTGAATTGAGCAACAATGAATTCGGCAGAGAATCGACCCGTGACCAACATCGCAGTGATGGGGACAAGTCAAGTTGGTAAATCTGGTAAGAGTTGTCAGACGTTTCGCGGACACTGCTGCACCGCGACCATTTGCGTCAATCCACTGCTGGATGAGCGCCTCCCCGCGCGCCCGTTCGTGTGGGTTGCGTGGGCCATACTTCACCACGCCTGCCAATGCGGTTTTGCTTTGGTGAAGGCGGGGTGTTATAACACGGGCGGACGCGGTTAAGTCGCTCAGGAGCATCGTACGGCGCAGCAGTTATAATCCTGCATAGATTTAGATAGCGCCCTACTTCAACAACAACAACTTCGTAACCCCGCAGCAGCTTTAAACACCTGTGGGTACGTACGGAGGTCCACCTCGCATCGTCGTCTTGCAAAGCCCCCGTACCTCTGTGACTTTTCTTTCGTGTTGTGCGCGCTGCATTTGAGCGCGCACAACGCGTGAATATATAGCGATTGTTCGTTTGTGTTGCTGGTGACTTTGTGTATCTCGTATCGGAATCGCCTCCAGTGCTGTTGCCGCTGGCGGCAATACAAAGTTGTTCAACAGTCAAAAAGTTTCTGGCTTCCGCTACCGATGGTCTCGAGAGAGCGAGATCGGTCGTATTCCGGGCGAATGTGTTCGTCGGCAAAGGAATTAATAATCCATGAGTGCGACAGGCAATAGAATTGCAACCCATTGTCGACCCACGAGTGAAGATCTTTCCTTCTCAAAGACGTTATTAGACCGTGTCCCCGTTGATGTCTACTCAAGGACTTTGCGCGAGACAAACTCCCTCCCTGTTGCACGAAGTTGTTCAGCTTGCCTTTGGAACTTCATTGGTTCTCTTCCTTTGTTCGGCTTCTTTGCGTCGCTGCTCTCTACCACACGCGTGTCGGTGATGTGCGCGTCTTCTTCGAACGCTGTGGAGCCGGAACAGCTCTCTGTACCAGCGTGGACGGCACCCTCCTCGTGTTCACCTTCTGAAGCGCTCGCTCGTCAACGTGGCGTGCGCGATGACCACCACCACAACCACCACGTGACTTTTCTTTCGTGTTGTGCGCGGTGCTTTTAGTGTGGATTTGTAGCGTTTATTTTCATTTGTTTGCTGGTGACTTTGTGTGTTTCATATAGAAATCGCCTCCAGTGCTTTTGCTGCTGGCGGCAATAAAAGTTGTTTTAAAAGTCGGACTTTTTTCAAATTTTATTGCTGTGGTTTTCACACCTGATGATGATTGCTTGTGTTGCAGTCGAAACGTCGTGAGAATGTCAGTTTTATATTTTTATTATTTTATTGTTTCCCTTCTACGTGACTTTACTGAAATAACCAAGAATATGAATCCCTGTAGTCACGAAAGCTTTAAATCAAAATCTAACCTGTTGTTCATATTTGGCACCCGTAATGAGCTCTACGGAGGTGGGGGGGGGGGGAAGGGGTTGGTGGATCATACAGTGATCATCACAACCTTTGTTGTCGGACAAAGAGCTGGCCCCTGGAGAGGGAGGTACAGCAAGTAGGACTGACTGAATCTGTGCCCATTTGGAATGCCAAGAATGAATACTCTCTGTTAGGGAATTGACAATACAATCCAAGTATCTGGCTGTTGTTGCTTTAAAAAAAGGTCTGTGGACGAAATGTCGCAGTTTCTCTGTCGCTGAAGTAATGCGTCGCATTCCAGTGTAATTGTATCAGGCAGGTTTGAAAATAAATAAAAGATTCAGTTGCAATAAAGTGTATTGGCTATTAGGAGTCAATTAGCCAAGCGGGATCCGTGCTAATAATGGGGGCTTGGACGTTGGCCAGCGGTTTGCTTGTACAAAGTTAATTGTGTGGCGCATTGCGGCTTAGTGTAATGCGGTTAAAGTGATGCCCTAACTCGGATTATAAGACGCACTTGATTAGGTCCCCTTCGGTAAATCGATGTCGGTGTGTAAACATCAGTAGTGGGGAGACAAAGGTGGACGGTCGTGGTGTTTGGCCCACACGACCACCACCACCAACAACAACATCGTGTGTCGTCCTGGCCTTAAAAGGTGCCCGCTAAGAGCACCTTGCCCCAGCAGTGTTGAAGTCTGCACAGGGAGGGGGGGGGTACGGTGGTGTGGTGGTCACCTGGGTCTCACCTGTGACCTCCTGCTGCTCGACACTTCACGTGGCCTCAACGTGCACCTAGCCTGGCACAGGCGCCGTGGTCACTTAGTGGCGAATGGCGGTTCTTGTTGTTGGTGGCGGTGTAGCGGTTAGCGCTACGCTGTGCTACGAACCTGGCGACCCGAGTTTGATTCCCGCTCACGGCCAACAACGCCAGTGATGATTATCTGAAGCGGTTCTAGGCCCCCGCCTAGGTCGACTCGACAGCGAATGAGTACCTGGTGCGATGTGTGAATATCGCCACGAGGGAGACAAAGGCGGCCGGGCGTGGCTTTGGCCACCTTCATAGGTTCTCGCTAACAGCACTTGCCCCCGACAGTCTGTTACAGGCTATACTGGGGGCATCTTTGTCTTTCGTGCGTCTTATAATCCGGTCGTTGTGCGTGTTTCTTGTTTTCAGCGCTCACCGTTCGCTTCCTGACGAGGAGATTCATCGGCGAATATTGCAACATCGGTAAGATCCATAATACAGGTTTTTTTTGGGTGGGTTGGATCGCGTAAATATATAAATGTGTCGTTAAACCCGCCACCACCCAACACAGCCGACTCGTAAGATTTGTCACGTAAACAGAACGTGCCAATTCGTGACTAGTACAGCACAAACGGTGTGTTGGAGAGCAAAGCCACAACATTTAGAATCTGAGTACGACGTTTCGCAAGTATTACAACTAGCTTCATCAGGCGGACAGCCACATTTGTAAAATGTCGGTGCCTGTTGTTAAACCTAGATTAATTCTGACGTTCGTAATAATATCACGGTGGCTCGAGCAGATTGTACGTTTAAAACAAAAGTTTAATTATCAGACACGCATGCTCTTTACACGGACAATAATAATATGAACTCTGTTGGGGGGGGTGTCAGAAATGTGACGTCACATCAAAATGCGCAACTTTAAATAAACATAGACAACACGTTCTACTTAATTAAATAGACTTTTTAATAAATGTTTTCTCCTACAACATCAGAGTGCAGCGGCACATTAAATACGCACTACAATGACAATAGTTTAACGCGATTTGAAGCATGTTTTTTTGGGGGGGGGGCAGAGTTTTGTGACGTCATATTTGAGGGGGTCTGACTTTTTGTGATGCCGTGTGACGAAGGGGGGGGGGGGGGAGGTAAAAAATCGTCCAAAATCGCGTGACGTCATTTCTGATTGCTGTTTTAGTCGCAGAAAAAAGTACTTTATTGCAAACAAGTTTATCAGACTAAATACTTCGTGGTTGTCATTGTGTATGACATAAAGGTAAACATCTCAAAAGGTTTCATCTCACTCGCCACTAATGTTAACCGTCGCCTGAAATATAAAACTCGGGTGGGCCCCGGTTCATAGCGCAGTGCGCTAATCAGTATTTTTCCAATAGGTCGCAGTCGGCACTTTGCCTAGGGACTATGGGAAAAAAATGTGACCACGTGTGTTTTTTTGTTTGTATGATAACACATGTCACCAATATATCTTCTTTAATAAATACATGCATATAGCAAGGATAGACACAGGCAGAGTCATGTCAATGTCAGTCGTTTTTTTTCTCATAAGTTGAGAGAGAAATTAACACCGGAGATTAACTTTTAGAGCTTTTTTTTCATTGCAAAATTATCAATAACATCTTCAAATAGTGTGTTTCGCAAAATCTCATTCTCAATAGAGTGGAAGGGAAAAAGACAAGCCTCGTTGTCTTGTGCGTTATTGGAGACAGTTTTTTTTTAATCAGCTTTCACAAATAACAGTGGCAGTAGTCACATAGGCAGCAGTTCCAACTTTCGAAAGTTATCGCTCAAGGCCTACGGAACAGAAGTGCCTAGGGCCTACAAGAATCGTAACTCGGCCCTGTGTGCCATCGCTCCACCCCATAACTGCACTTGGGATGCGTTAGAAGCAATGAGCGCACCGAAGTGGCATACTGGAATTTCTGCACCTTGCAGTTGGAAACGTCTTCGGCGTGTTGTTGTAGAGGGGCGGCTGCGATAGCTGGTCAACAGAACCTGACGTGGTTACTTCCTGTGTGGATTAGAGAGAGGGGGGGCTTTGCCAAATACTGATAAAAAAAACAAGACAAATCGGTGTGGCCACCGATGGATCAACATAGCGACCTGTGCTGGAGGAGTGCTCACGGGAATGCTTGCCTCGTTTTTGTTGGCCGCAGAGGCGGTCTACACACACTGCGTGGCAGCAACGCAGGGCGACGCGGTGCTGCTCAACATATGGGACTGCCCCTGCAGAGAGGTGAGTGAGGCTGGCTGGGGACCCCGTTGTGCCCTGGTTTCTCGCCTTTTGAGTGTGACGACGCCGGGCGCGCGGAGCGGGAAACGTTGGACGTGAAGAGCAACGCGCGGTACAAACCCAAAAGGGGGCTTGGCAGCACGACTGGGGAAATAAAAAACAAACTCCACCGTCATACTGCACTGCTTTTTTTGTGTTTAGCTTGTTGTCTTCCCCCCACCCTCCACACCTTTCGGTTAGCACGGTTGGCTACGTACGGTGCGAAAGAAGTTCAACGTACGTACATACGTGCTGTTGATGAATTGCGCTAAAAACAGTCTCGGCTGGACGTAGCCAAACATTCTCTCGGCTGATCATGTTGGCCGTAGAGGAATTTAACTGCAATAGTTTACATGTACTAGACAGTGCCTTCTCACAGACGACTGTTTTTTTTTCCCCCCGTGTAACATTACCTAATTCTAGATTTTAAGTTTTCGTGACTGCAAGGGTACGCAACGCTACCTCCCAGCCCACACCCCGCCCCCACATTCACCATGCCCCCTCCCCCCATCACTCCGCGACTACATAATTACTCGTCACAGCCACTTCTGAGACACACTTCGGCGTTTGTGCTTTCGCTACGTTGTCCCCACCTGAAGAAGGACGCTCGTGTTGCGCCCGAAACGTCGTGATTTAATTTATTTAAATTTTTTACCTACGTGACATTACCTAAGCCCTCGACCTCTTGACCCCACTTATCACTTCATCCTGCCCTTTGGCTCATTCGACCTAGCAATAGCGTTCAGAGGTGTTAGCACAAGTTAGCACAATATATATTTGGTGATGGTATTTGTATTAGTCAACGATAGCTCAGTCATAGGTTCAGTTCCTACAGCAAACCTGTACTGCAAACATTACATGCTTTAAAGTAACGGTTAGAACAGACGTGGGAAAAGTACGGCCCCCGGGCCTTATACGGCCCGATTGGCTTTTTAATCCGGCCCGCCGAACTTGTCCAAATGTTATTATTATTATTATTAAATTTTACCTTTCTCCTGTAATGCCCCCATTTCCCCCATTAGATGGCGCACTTTGACCGGGAGTTACAACATGTTTTTGTATCGTTCATGTTCGTGCAATTTGTTAAATTGCCTTGCGAATAAATGCTTTGCTACCTGTTAAAGGCCAAATCCTTTCATGTAATGAGTTTTACATGTCATTTATATTAGTTCACACAAACACTCCATCCATCTGTTCCTGGCCCGGCCCCTCCGTCAAATTTTAGAACCCATTGTGGCCCGCGAGTCAAAAAATTTGCCCACCCCTGGGTTAAAATGTACCTCTTAATTATCCATCGCACTCAATTATTTTTTTATTAAAATGAAATTACTTTGCAGGCTGCGGCGTATGAATTCAGCACAAGGTTCATGACAGTTGGCAGTACTAATAAAAATCTAAATTTGTACTAAAACCAATTTCGGTGCAAGTGTATAATTCTTCTCCCGTAACTCCTGTCAAATGATTATGAAGGACAGGATGCAGTGTGTTAGAGTGCCCTAAGTCAAGCCCAAGTCCTGCAACTGAAAATGAACAAAATAACTTAAAAATGAGCTGCCAATAAAATAAGATTGGACAAAAAAAAAATATTTTCTTGCTGGGCTTAAATGTTAATTCTAAATATATTTGAACCGCGTAACATTCTCTCCGAGGACCTTATAATGGCAGTGTTCATCTGCTTTTTGTTGTCATTTCGCTCCCAAATGTGTCCGCGGGTTGAGCCGGGTCGAGTGCTGGATTAAGTTTGATGGGGGCCCTGGTACGTGTTTTGTTTTTTTGGGGGGCGGAGGGGGGGCTCTTTGTGTGTTCACCTCTTTCCCTGTGCCATTTTACCACCATCCGTGCCCCGATGCCGAAAACTCCACCGTTATAATTACCTTGCGTTATTCCGCTTGCAGTATTTAGAAGTTGGAATGAACAAACTCTTTAATGTTTGCACATGACTGGTTGTAACACACACAGTGGTGCTTATGGTCTTAAGTACCAAATTGCACGGTTGGTTTTACCATAGTGCTACAGTGTTGCATTTGAACCATTACAAAGCAGACTATATGTGCTTGGGGGTGGGGAGGGGGGGGGGGGCGTCCCTTATAAGTCCAAGGCACCGGGCTGCCGCTGATCCAGCTCTGACCCCGTAACCGCCGGACATCGTTCCAAACAACCCGAAGACACATCAAAAGAGCAGTACGGCAGCACAACCGCGAAAAGCTGCGCGGTTGAATTATAGCCCTTGCCCTCATGGTCTGCATCGAGTGGAACCACGACCACGGCTGACTGAAGCCGTCGGCTCTTTGATGTGCAACATCTTGAGGGGTTGGTCGTGCACGCGCGTGACTCTCTTCCGTCTGTCCCTCCAGTGCCGTGGTTTATTTTCCATTACCTCCGAATTGTAGTGACACGTTCGTATTACGCAGAAATGAAAGCAGAGTTCACCTTGATTATAGCCTAAACCCGACAATTCATGGCATGACACGGGTCCAGCATCACTCAAAACCCATACGGCTGGAGCGAGTGGCTCCTGATTTGACGTCCCGAACGAAGCGCTGTGATGTGTGCGGCGGGGGGGGGGGGAGGGGGGGCGGTGTTTGGGATGTGGGGGGAAAGATTGCAAGGCTGGGCTTGATGTTTGCATCCAACAATCATCCGATGGGATTGAATATATATACACACACACACAGAGACATACAAAAAAATGTTGTAAAAGAAAAGAATCATCCACGGGTGTCTCAATGTTAGAGGTGTTGTATCGATATGATTTGTAATTACTTTGCAGGTAAAATTAATTTGATCTGTGTATAATTTGGGAAAGGTTTGGCTTGCATGCTGCGATGTTTTGTCGAGTTGTAACCCTGCGTTGTTCGGCACGATGTATGACATTTTTACTCCACGTGCTGGCAACTTCTTCAAAGACCTGAAAACACCAATTCAGTTTGTGAATAAGCTGTCGGCTCATGGAGTGAACTGTGTGAAACCCAGCACAGAAGGGCTATAGTTTCATACGTGGGCTTTCACAACTAATACTACGATTGATAATTAAGTTTCTTTAGGGTTCGATCATTGCAATTCACGGTAACGTTTTTTTGGGTTGGATGCGTAAATGTAAATGTGTTGTAAACCGACCTCCACCGGACACAGCCAATCAAGTAAGGTTTGTCACGTGAACAAAACGTGCCCCCCCCCTCCCTCATTATCAACCCGCATTGACCAGGGTGATGAAGTATGGTCACGCAACCCCCATCGCTCGCACGGTGTGTGGTGGCAGCCCTCATTCAGTAGCGAATCGACAAAGTGACCGCCAATAATTGTGATGGGCTCTTGCAACAATCGCACACCACACGGTTTTGAAGCCCTGATTCGCTGTCGATCATCGACGGCAAGCGGCATGCGATTGCCTCGGCACGTCATCGCATCATTTGCTTCTCCACCCTTGGCAATGCAACCTCCCGTGACGGTGCGCGGTGAAAGATCGCACACTGCCTCCACGACCCCCTTGACTCCCACGCTCCTCCACATCTCGGTTGCGCCGCGATGCCCGCAGGACGAACGCCGGCCGTGGGCAAGCGGGCACGAGTCGCGCATCACCTGGGCCGACGCCTTCCTCCTCGTGTACAGCGTCTGCGACCGTGACAGCTTCAACGCCGCCCTGCAGATGGCCCAGGCGCTGCGGGACGCCAGGCGGCCGGCGGGGCGTGCGGCGCGAGCTCCCGCCGTCGTGGTGGTGGTGGGGAACAAGCGGGACCTCCAGCATGCCAGGGCGGTCGGCACGCAAGAGGCCCGGGCCCTGACGGCGGCGCTGGGCTGCGGATTTTTTGAAACGTCGGCTGCGGAATCGCGTGACGACGCGGAGACGGTGTTCCAGGCCCTGCTGGGCGCCGTGTCCGGCAAGCGACGGGGGGGCGGCCCGAAGGCCTGCCGGCCGCCCATGGGCAAGCGGGTGCTAGGCCTCAGAAGCCTGCTTAAGACCCTGTCTATGCTGTTCTTGCGCAAGTGAGTTCGGCGGGGCCCGCTCGGTTTTTTTTTGCATTTTAATTTAACTGTTTATTTTATTGTGTCAGAGATTTTTTTATAGCGACTTTGCGCGGTTTACTTTGGAGGGTTTGTGGTTTTTTTTCCTTTCTTCATTCTGTGAATTGAAGAGGAGCTTTTTGGTGGAGTTGCCCTGATTTTATCGGGGCTTGCTCGCCGCGTGCCACGGGGACTCGTGTTTTTGGTGAACTATTCTACCCGCACTGGGGGAAGGAAGGTTCGTGTGCTTTACATTGGGTGGGTTGTTTGTGGCTTTGTACATTTCTGTCTCGCTCAGGAGGAACTTGTTGAACGGCACGAAAATAGCACGACCTGTGTTCACGTGGACTCCTGTGTCGAACCTTTCTCGCTTCTGCGGAATAAAAAAAAATCAAGCAACGAAAGAGACGCCGCTGCCGCACAATTCCGCCCGCTGAGTGTCGAATGCGAATGCAAGACCGAGCCAAAGATCGAGCGCGCTCCCCTCCTTTGCAAACGTCGTCCATTCATCTCGACGCTTTGTCGCCCCCTGAATTTGAGGCCGCCGCTGCTTCCCCATCGACGGCTTCCCCGCGGGTCGCTGGGCAGCGACCCGCGGGGCAGCGCCCGTCACGGAGGCGGCGTCGTCGTCCGTCTTCGTGTTGGCAGACGAGCGCAAGGGCCAATTCAATTCTCGCCCCGGGATAACGCCCGATCTTGTCAGATCTCGGCATCCTGAGTGGTTGGTTGAGCTCTGGATAGCTCCGTGAATTGGCGATTACCACCAACGCATGTTGAACCGCTTGTTGTCATCATTTGCGGGGGTGGCTATGTTGTCTGATGCAGAAGCGGGGTGGTGGGGGGTGGGGGGTAGTGCAGTTACAATTCACTGTTTAAGGTGGGGGGTAGTGCAGTTACAATTCACTGTTTAACTGCACCTCGACGTTTCCACGCCTCGTATGCTGCCCGGCTTTCACCAACACGCACTTTTACCGGCGTGTTGAAGGGATTCGGAGTGGGTGGTGGGGTAGCCACGCAGAATTCACGTGAATTTACTGGAAGCTTTAGCTTATTCGGATACATCGATGTTATTGTTACGTTGACGTTCATTATTCTGGAGCGTGCACCAAGGGCACTGCCACACTTTGGAAGCTGGGGGGGGGGGGGGGCATACGAGGAAAGTCTTCCCGCTGGTTCTTGGTTAGATCACAGATCGCGTCCCCACCTTCCCCCACCCCACTTTGTCACGGTTCAAGGTTTTCCTGCGCTGTAATCATATTGAGTCCACACGTCACTGCTTGCCACCGACCAGGTGCGCAGCCAACCGTTTGTGCGCGACTGAGCAGTTTTAAAAGGCCCCTTCTTCCCCCTCGATCGGGTGACAAACGCCGATCGTGCTCATCACCATAAACATCGTTTATGTAGCCTTGTCGGAGGCGGAATATATATAAAAATGACAATAAACAATACCCGGATTGTTACCGAAAAGCACGAGCCACATTTCTACAAACGGCCGTGGGTGTTCCGGAGAGCCTCGGCGGCCGCGCTACCCCGCGGCACTGCGCGGGTCAGCGACTCCTGACCCCCCTCCCCCCGCCACCCGTAGTGTCGGGCTTCAGCTTTGCGGGGCTGTTCCCGTCCAGCGGCGTGGGCTTCTTCAAATCCAAGACCGGTGGGAGAGGTTAATTATTTGGCGACCGCTCCAAAGTGGCTTTGCGTTCCCCGGCGCAAGGTGCACCCTCGTTGGTGGGGGAGGTTGGGGGGTGGTTAGCCCGTCCTTAAAAAAAAAAGATTCAAAATCCGTGGCGCGTCGGCCGACCTCCCCCCCCCCCCCCCGTGCGCCGCGCGTAGGCGGCTGACAGCGTCGTCGCGAAATTTCAGTTTAAAGGAAGGTCGCGAGCAAAGGCGGGGGCACACGCTCGTTCTTGAAACGGCACAAATTGAGCGGGGTGCTTATGGCACGCAAAAAAAAACCTTGACAACTCTATCCACAAAGTAGACTTTGGTTGAGAGCAGGCAGATTAATTGGACGAGGGGGGGAGGGGGAATAAAGTGAACTTTGGAATTCGTTGTACCGTGCCTTCAGGGGATATTGCAATTAAAAAAACTGAAAAGTCGCTTGTGAAGTGTTCCAATGAAATTGGCTTGGATTATATATATGTCTAGATTTTTTTTTTAATGTTACGTCGTCAAATGATTAGTGTTCACATCATGGACCCCGTCGTCAGCTTTCTCAGGTTCTCGGGCTGGTGGCACGACCCCCCCCCCGCCCAGCCGGACGGTGGTGCAGCCCCCCAAACCCCTCATTGCTCTCCGCTTGTATCCGTGGGCGAAATCGCGGATTTCATGACTGTTATGGGGGGGGGGGGGGGTGGGAAACAACAACAACAGTCGCAATATGTTTACGCGCGCAAGCACCCGCGCGCCCTTAAAGCGCTCAGCCGCTCATCGCGGGTTCACTGACTTTGGTGACCCCCCCCCCCCACGTGACCCGCAAAGGCGTCGGCAGGGAAACCGATTTACTTTGAGAAGCAATACAAAGAGCTTCGGCAGTTGTTTTGTCTCCCCCCCCACCCTCCCAACCCACACCCTCTGTTCTACTTAGGTTAACAACACACACACCTATCACCGCGGATAATTTAAGAGGTGGCTGTAATTGTGCTCGTAATGAGGACTTTAGGGTGTGTAAGCGGTAACCTAATGGGTCAAAAAAAAATAGTGGATGGCACTCGTGGCTGCGACGAGGGTTCCTTGCAAATGACTCTCGAATTTGACAAATTGATCGTCTCCCTACACACAACGTGTGGCCATTGCGGAGCCGTGCCGTGACGGATACCGATTAAGATGTTCCAGCCGTTGACGTGCGGCTGCTGTGTTGTATATTTGTCGTTCCGGTGTTTTGCGGCATTGACGGATTGACTGCGAGCGCTTGTGCAAAATTATTCCGGAATTAGATGTTGCTGATCAATCATTGGTCAGGGGATGGTTTGAACGGACGTCGATGTGAAAAGAAAAGCAAAATTATGCGTGATAACGCGAATTAAAAATTTTTCGAATTACTCATCCTGTGTTTTTTGTGATTGTCCAATTTTTTTTAATTGTAATTGGTGGAATAAATGAGGTCTTGCCTATTCCACTTCATCACATTCATCCCTGCGTACGAATTAGGGCTGAACAATTTTGGGAAAATATCTAATCGCGATTTTTCTGACAGATATTGCGATTTGATTTGCGATTACATTTTTTGAAGTCAAGCTTCAGTTCAATATTCACTGTGTAATAGATTTAAAACATGTGATGGAGCGTTACCACATGATGCCATCACAATATGAACTGCTCTATATATTCTAATGCAAGGATGAGAACTTGAAATATATGAATTACTTTCCAACATGTATTTATTAAAAATGTTTTATTGAAATAGAACTCAAACAGAACAATTAAGTTAAAAAAGTTATAACAATACAAAATAAAACAATTCCAATAAGACAGTAATAGGACTTTTCAAATCGCTAAAAATCACAGCCTTTGAGATTTGCTAATCGCATTGTTTCACATTTCTATTTGAAATCGATGAATCGTTCAGCCCTAGTACGAATGCTTGTTTTGTTGGGGATTGCTACTGTGGAGGGTTACTGCCGGGATGTAATGGTTATCACCAGACCTGGAATCCAAAGGTTGCTGGTTTGGTTTTTTGGCGCGGCAGTTAAAACAAGCGTGTGTTGTTTAAACGTCTTGTCTTCCGGCCGGCACTCATTTTTCTGTTGCGATTGGGGGGGGGGGGGGGGGTGTCTCCTCCCCCAGTCAACACGTGACGTTGAACCAACATTTTCAAAAATTACCCCCTGCCTGTGGCCATACCGTAGGCACTCTCCCCCCCCCCCCCCCCCACGAATGGGTTTTTGTGGTGTTTGTGCTTCTGTTTTTATACATTCTGGAATGAGAATTCGGAGTGCTTGCAGAGATGGCTGGGATGGTCATGGTATTATGTATGGAATGACGTAGCTCCGTTGGCCGATGCTTGCTGGTTCTTTCCATGGGTTTAAATCCCAGACAGGGTCCAATAACTCAAATCAAGATCATCATCTACAACATCAAATCAGTCATAATCAGCGTTTCTACTATCCACCGTCTCCGTCAGTCATCCATTCACTCATCATTGTCATAATTCATTATCGGTGACCGTTCCATGATTGAGGTATTCATTTCGGTGGAAATTCTTAATAAAATAGGTCCACTGATTGTTTTATTCCCAAGTCATTCGCACTTGTTTAACTATGCTCACGGTTATTTAATCTGATCCGAGAAGATTTTTTTAAAAAAATCCCCATAACGATGAAATGCACAGCGGTTAACCTCGTCAGGGATTCGTCTTTTCGTCGTGTAAAAGTCATATTTCTGCTTTATGGAACAAGGGAAGCGGTGTTTGACACTTGCGTGAAAAGGAATGCTCCATCGCCATTGAAATGGAGGAGTGAAAAAGTTAATGTTGAGCACGTACGTCCGCTACCGTGGCATTCAATGAACATTCCTATCTTCTTAACAAAAGGTGAACGCTTTTAAATCTGAATTACAGCCTAAATTGGTCGATGTTGCTATACCCAAGTAAAAAAAGCCACTAATTGTCCACGTCTTTTAAGCTGTCTTAAATGTTGGAGCTGTCTCTTAAACGACACATTTCATTTCGCTCTAATTCAGTTCAGTTGAAGACTTGAATTGGGTCGTATGATTAACGACCAATCCCAAACAGCTTTTCCAACTTCCAAGCATTATTTGACGCAAACTCAACCGGCGTAGCGTGATTGGCATGGGTCATCCTGTTCCCAGTAATCACATGTATTGGGTGCCCTGTTGCAATTTCACCCCCTCCCGTCCTCAGGACCCCCTTCTCCCCCAACGCTTCCTCGTCATTGCCCTGCTGCAGTTGCGACTGTAACCCGTGTGAGCTCACCTGTGATTAATCACACACGTATAATTGCGCACTCTGCCAATAGCCACGGATACCGAGGTGCTGTTTTAAAAAAATATATTGTTTAAGTGAATGCAACGGTGATTGAAACCAGAGCCGAGCCCCCCCCCCCCCCCCCACCACGTGTACAGTTGAGTACAAGGGACGTCCGCCACCAATTTAGATTTGGCCGGATTTCGTGCTGAGGAAATTGACCCGCGGTGTCGACCGTGGAGGGTGTTTCTGATCGCCCTTGCGGGATTCACGAGCGGAGGGCCAGAGGACCGACCGCCTGCATGAGTCAATTAAAGGCCGTAATTCGGATATGAATACATAATAAATCATTCGTCCGCTCGTTCTTGACGGGGGGAGACAATTTGCTAGCAAAAAAAAACATACAGCTGTGTCTGGACGCGCGCTCTCTCATCCACGGCGTGGCCTGTGGTGCTGTTGCACCGCCTGCACACTTAACAAAAAATCTGGCGATGCCACCGCGCCAACTGTCATGAACCCCAGGGGGGGGAGGGGGGGGGGGACGTTTTCGCCAGCGGTGGAAATTCCACATTCTCATGCTGGAGGCAAGTCCATTCCAAGATAAAACACAACTTTATAATGAAACAAAATTTGGGTTAGATCGCGTAAGTATCCGTGTGTTGGTAACCCGCCACCACCCGTTACAGCCAGTTAGAAAGGGTTGCCACGTTAACAAAGCGTGCCAATTAATTACTACTTCAGCCCACATGTGTGTTGGAGAGTAAATTCACAACATTTACAAATTGAGTACGACGTTTCGCTGATGATTACATCCAACATCATCGGGCGATTTTGCCAGAATTGGGAAGTGGTAACGAATTGGCACGTTTTGTTTACGTGACAAACCTTAGTAATTGGCTGTGTCGGGTGGTAGCGGGTTAACAACACATTTATACTTACGTGATCTAATCCAAAAACACTTATTATGAGTAACATTGGTCGTGAAAGCCTACGTATTAAACAAAAAAGGCACTGTTGGCTTCCCACAAAAGAGGTGGACATTTTATCTACCATCAAGTGATGATTGGTTGCGTCAACTACCCCCACCTCAACTTCCACCGCGCCGCCAGCGACAGGGAATTGAACTCTGACCCATGATGATTGCGAGCCGTGCGCTCTAACCACTGCTCCACTTTAGCCTGATTACAATATGGAAAATGCGTGTGTATTTCAGAAGCAAATGTCCAGAGTATTACACCGCCACCCACCCCACCTCCCGATTGCTGCATGCGTCATGTGCTGGTAACCCCTAGAGGCACTACGATCGTAGCCGAAGCCCTCTAAGGGTTGAAAGCGTTTTATTGTCGTTTGATTGACGGCACTCTCTAATGATGTGCCACTTGCCTCGGGCGCAAAGATGCATCTCGCATTTCCTCCCTGCCTGCCTGCCTCCCTCCCTCCCCAGTCGCGCGCCACTCTCTCCTCCAGAGTCGGATCTGACTCCTGCCAAAATGTAAGGCGCGAATTTAAATCCGCACGTTCCGCAATGTGCGTGCATGCGGTGGTGGTGGTGGTTGGGGGAGGTCGTATTCTTTTGAGAGATGCGTGTAACGGATACGTCGGTTATTAAGCGTGCCTTGCGCGCGTGTGCGTGTGTGTGTATACAGTGGGGAGCGGTGGTGTAGTGGGCACCTGGGTCTGCCCCGTGACCTCCTGCCAGCGGGCGTTCGACACTTCACGTGGCCTTGACGTGCACGTAGCCTGGCACAAGCGCCGTGGTGATGGTCACGGCCATTTAGTGGCGAATGGCGGTTGTTGTTGGTGGTGGAGCGGTTAGCGCGCTGCGCTTCGAACCTGGCGACCCGAGTTCGATTCCCGCTCACGGCCAACACTAGTGACGATTATCTGAACTGGTCATGGGCCTCCTCCCCTAGGTCGACTCAGCCTCAAATGAGTACAAAGGCGACCGGGCGTTGTGCTGGCCACCCACCCCCTCGTGTGTCGTGCCGGCCTTGATAGGTGTTACTCGCTAACAGCACTTGCCCCAACAGTATGTTAAAGGCTATATGGGTGACCTTTATCTTTGTGCATACAGTGACCGATTCGTTTGTAAAAATTGGGTGTAAATAAATAAAAAAATTCGATGGCAGCCCGTATATCGTTCGTTCTCAGGAAGAGAATGTGTGCCACGGAGCAAATTGTAAACCATAAAATCCATTTGATGGGATAGTGCTGTGGTCGGAGTGAGGGGCCATCCATTGAGTAGGTACGCAAAAATCTGTCAAAACTTGAGCCCTTCCCCCCTCCCTGTAGGCACGCGGACTTTTTACACCCCCCCCCCCCACCTGCGTACGTTCGCTTGACCCCCCCCCCCCCCCGTATCCTATAGAACGGTTGAAATTTAATCCACGCAGAAACAATCAATGATTAATAATATGAACGTGTTTAAGCA